GACCTCGCCCGCACTGCGTTGGACGGGGGAGGTTGGCGATGCGTCGCGCTTCCGGGTGTGGGGTGCTCGTGCCCTTGTCCGCGATACGTCCGCGGACAAGCTCTCCTCCCGCACGCTTCCCTGTGTCTTCCTTGGCTTTGTCCCTGACGTGCCTGGCTGGCAGTTTTACCACCCCACCTCGCGCCGGGTCTTCGCCTCTCAGGACGTCACCTTTGACGAGTCGGTCCCTTTTTACCGTCTCTTCCCCTACCGCACTGCCCCCCTCCCTCCCCCGCCGCTTTTCCTCGCTCCTGGTCCCCCTCCGGTAGACCCCCTTCCCCCTCAGGGTCCTGCTCCTTCAGGTGTCTCTCAGGTAGACCCTCCTCCCGTCGCTGAGCCTGTCGAGGTCACAGGTGACTCAGGTGCTGCTGCGGGTGGTGCTGCTGGGAGTGCTGAGCCTGGGGGTGCTGAGCCTGGGGGTGCTGGGCCTGGGGGTGCTGGGACTGAGAGTGCTGGAGCTTAGGGTACGGTGCCTGAGCGTACGGAGCCTGGGGGTGCTGCGACTGGGGGTGCTGAGCCTGGGGGTGCGGAGACTGGGAGTGCTGGGCCTGGGTGTACTGAGCCTAGTGGTGCTGAGCTTGGGGGTGCTGCGCCTGAGGGTACTGAGCCTGGGGGTGCTGCGACTGAGCCTACGGAGCCTGGGGTTGCTGCGTCTGGGGGTGCTCCGGTTCGGGGTGCTGAGCCGTCTCTCCGGGAGCCTCTCACCCACCAGCAGCTTCGTGACTGGTACGTTCAGCGCTTTCGCCGTCCTCGTGGCCCTGCTGGAGTTGGAGGTTCTGGAGCTGCTCGTCCTGGAGGTGCTCGTACTAGAGGTACTGGAGCTGCCGGGGCTGGTTGTTCTGGGAGCACTGAGGCTGGAGCTGCTGGAGCTGGGGACTCTGGAGCTGGCGGTGCTAGCGGAGTTGGAGCTGCCGGCTCTGGGGGTGCTCTTCCTGGAGGTACTGGAGCTGCTGGAGCTGACGACACTGGTGCTGACAGTCTTGGAGGAGTTGGTCCTGCTGGTTCTGGAGGTGCTGGCGAGGGGAGGTCTGACGCTGCTGGGGCCTCTGGTGCTGACGTCGCCGGCTCTGGGGGTGCTGCGGCGGGGGGCGCTGGTACTGGTGCTTCTGGTGCTGCGGGGACTGGAGGTACTGGCGGAGCTCCGCCGTCGCGCCTGTTCTTCGCTCCACCGTCGCCGTCGGCTTTGCCACCGCCTGACACGGTGCTTCGCCAGGTTCTTTCCCTCCCGTCTTCCACTGGCCTTCCCCTCCTACCTGGCTCCCCCCTCCCTGCTCCTGTGCCTTACACTGCGCAGCCGGACTCGCTTACGGAGCGTCGTGAGCCTGCGTCTCGTCCTGCCTCGCCTGTTCGCGCCGCTCGCACTGCTCGCACTGCGCGCACTGGTCCCACTGGTCGTCGTGTCGCGCGTCCGCGTCCTCCTCCTGTTCCTGGCACGCACATTATGGCCCTTCGTCCTTCCACTGGTCCACAGCGTGTCCCCCTGCCGTCTCCTCCTGCGTCTTCTCTTCCTGACGTTCCCGACCCTGAGTCTGACAGTGTTCGTGCTGCCCACCCTACTGTTACGCGTCTTCTCGCCACTGTTGTCACTGACCCGTCGTTTGAGTCTGCTGCTGCGTCTGCCCTGGTCGCTGAGCTTGTCGACTTTGCTGCTGCCTGTCATCTAGACTACGCCGCCAGTCTTGTTGCTGAGTCTGAGTCTGTCTGTCCTCCGTCCGTCGGGGGTGAGTGTGCTCTTGGCACGGACGTCCTTGAGGACAGGCAGGAGGACTTTGACTCTCTTGCGGCTGCTGTACCTCATCTCGTGGCCTGGTTGCTTGCCCCTGAGGGAGACCCGGATGCACTAGACATCCCCACTCCGCGCTCTTACGCAGAGGCGATCTCGGGTCCCTACTCCTCTCAGTGGCAGACAGCCATGGACGCAGAGATGGCATCCTGGAAATCCACAGGCACCTACGTCGACGAGGTTCCCCCTCCTGGGGCGAACATCGTCGATGGCATGTGGATTTTCAGGGTGAAGCGGCCGCCAGGTTCTCCACCTGTCTTCAAGGCTCGTTACGTTGCTAGAGGCTTCAGTCAGCGTCAGGGGGTTGACTTCTTCCAGACCTTCTCCCCCACCCCGAAGATGACCACTCTTCGGGTACTGCTGCACGTTGCCGCCCAGCGTGACTACGAGCTTCACTCGCTTGACTTCAGCACAGCTTTCTTGCAGGGCAGCCTGCACGAGGAGATCTGGCTGCGCCGCCCACCTGGCTTCACTGGGTCGTTCCCTCCTGGTACCCAGTGGAGCCTCCGCCGGCCAGTCTACGGTCTCCGCCAGGCGCCGCGTGAGTGGCACGACACACTGAGGACGACACTTGCGGCACTTGGGTTTGCTCCCTCCACTGCAGACCCGTCGCTGTTTCTCCGCACCGACACCTCGCTGCCGCCGTTCTACATCCTCGTTTACGTCGACGACTTGGTTTTTGCTACTGCTGACACTGAGGCACTCGCCCACGTGAAGTCGGAGCTGCAGAAGAGACATACGTGCACTGATCTGGGTGAGCTGCGCAGCTACCTTGGCTTGCAGATCACCCGGGACAGAGCACGCCGCACCATCACCTTGACCCAGTCACACATGGTGCAGCAGATCCTTCAGCGCTTCGACTTCCAGTACTCCTCACCACAGTCCACTCCTCTGTCTACACGTCACTCGCTCTCAGCTCCACCTTCGGACGAGTCCGTAGAGCCGAGTGGCCCGTACCCAGAGCTTGTGGGCTGCCTCATGTACCTGATGACCTGCACTCGACCTGACCTTGCGTACCCTCTTAGCATCCTAGCTCGCTACGTCGCGCCTGGGAGACACAGGCGAGAGCACTGGGAGGTTGCTAAGAGGGTGCTACGCTACTTGTGCAGTACATCAGGCATGGGGCTGGTGCTTGGAGGACGGGGTCGAGTTGTCCTCACTGGACACTCAGACGCAGCTTGGGTTGACGACCTGGCTACGCAGCGGTCGTCACAGGGTTACACCTTCAGCCTTGGTTCAGGCTCTATCTCGTGGCGGTCTACTCGCTCGTCTTCTGTTCTCAGCTCCAGTTGTGAGGCTGAGATCTACGCCACATCCATGGCTGCACAGGAGTTACGCTGGCTTACCTACCTGCTGACTGACCTGGGAGAGCGGCCTAGTTCTCCTCCAGTTCTGTACGGCGACAACAAGGCAGCCCTTGCCTTGTGTCAGGAGCACAGACTGGAGCACAGAACGAAGCACATTGCTCTCCGTTACTTCCTGGCTCGAGAGCTGCAGCAGCGTGGCCAGCTTCGTCTTGTGTACGTCGACACACGGGCCAACGCCGCTGACATATTCACCAAGGCTCTTCCGCCTAGTGATCATCAGCGGCACTGCACTGCTCTAGGCCTTGTACCTACGTTCTCTCACTTACTTACTGCTTGACCTTGTTTGTACTGTGATCTATATATATACATGCCTGCTTGTTTGCTCTTGCTAGGTAGGGATCACTGTATTGTCGCTGTTGCTTATATCTCTCTGCATGTGAACTGGCCTTGTGGCCTTTACTGTTTGTGCTCAGAGTGTGTGGTGACGTTGTGATCCACCCTGAGCTTGTCTTTGCTTGACTGGTCGTGTGACCCCTTGTTCTCCCCCACCTTGCCTATGGGGGTGTGTCAAAACATTGTATATATCTGCTGTAGAACTGTAGGCTGTAGTGGGGTAGCTTATATGGGGTACAACACATTCTAGGGTTCATATTTGTATCCCAACTGTTGCTAGTTCATTCATCCTTGCCTAGTCCTGTTGACAGAGTCTACAGGGGAGCCTCTGTGGGAGGGAACGAGGAGGAGTGAGGGGTGGCGCGCTGCCGCCCCTCGACACAGGGAAGACAGGGAGGAGCAGGCGAGGGTGGGAGGGGAGGGAGAACTCTGGGAAGACCAGAGACAAGGCATGGTCGCCCCTCGTCGCACACACCGGGCATCCACTGCGGGGGTTTAATTTAAACCGAAGGTGGGTATCCTACCGTGGGAGAGATCCACGATGGGCCCAGCTACTGCACGGTGATTGCTGCGCTTCGGGTTGAGCGCCCCTACACTAGCTAGACTTGCATACAATTAAAGAGGGATGTCAGAATATAATATTTTTATATTATTACATGCATAGCTAGTAGTGTAGTATCATCCAATGTTGCCTCTTGGTGGTGTACCTCCGTTGTAACTCTCTCAATATTGAACCCTCTTTGACCAACTTCTCTATCCTCTCGCCATGTTTCTCCTTACCTCCTCAAACCCTTGTTACTAGTTACTACTCTTGTTGTTGACAAATGTTTAGCCTGATAATGGAGGATTGAAGGAGTGTGAGCTCCACCACTTCTACCACATTGGTGGAAATCCAAGCCGTTATCTCCTCCATTACATGACCGTAAGGCTGATTGTACTATATTGATACCGTACTACATTTGCTAGCACCTAGTGAACTCGGTAAAAAGTCATTGTTTTGTAGCTCTCTCAACATGTTGGGGTGAGGAGATCAAGCTGTATTGCAGCGAAAGTCTCGAATTCCTGAGCTGGTGTATTCGAAGAATTAATAACTAGAAAAGGTGAATATATAGCTGTATTTCATGATGTACATGTTCGCTCAATCGAGCATTTATGAGTCGTCACTCTAAGCGGTAGTACCGCTGAAACGTCATGCGATTAGTCATGACTCATGAGACTATTCACGCTCCTAACAGTTCCTGATTAGTTCCGTCACTTTTGGTCCCGAATGGTCCTGTGAGTAGCGCTGTGAGCGCGCGAGTGCGCGACATGACAGGCAGGCGTTTCAGGCGACTGTATTTTGGTACGATGGGCCCTCTGTTGTCAATAAGTAGGGTCACTAGCTCGAGGAAGGAACACTGCAAAGCATTCTACGCCCTCTCGTCGCATCTCTGCTTCCTACTTCCGAGGCTTGTTCGGCGAACACTTTTCTCCCTGCCATGGCTCCGCTCATTTCCTCCTACAACGAGAATGTCCGTCCGATGCTCGACGCAATCGACAAGTTGCGAGTCCTAGGTCTCAAGGAGGAAGGAATCGAGCTTCCGACGATCGTCGTCGTTGGTGATCAATCCAGCGGCAAATCGTCCGTGCTGGAAAACTTGTCGGGAATCGGCCTGCCGAGAGGCAAGGGGATCGTTACTCGCGTGCCGTTGATCCTGAGGCTCCAATCGTGCTCCGACGGTCAGGATGAGATCACGATTGAATACACCCCTGTCACCGGGAAAGTGTCTAAAGTTATCCCTGACGAAGCGTTGATCGAGCAGGAAATTTCTGAGGCAACAGTGGCCCTAGCTGGCAGCAGGAAAGGCGTCATGAATTGTCCAATTACCCTGCAAGTGCGACGACCGGACTTGCCTATCCTAACCCTCATAGATCTGCCTGGAATCACACGCGTTCCTGTTGAAGATCAGCCGAAGGACATTTACAATCAGGTTAAGGCGATGATCATGCATTACATCACTCCGAAGGAGAGCGTGATTCTGAACGTGCTGGCAGCCGAGGTGGATTTCTCCACGTGCGAGTCCATCGTGATGTCGCAAGAGGTCGATCCTGACGGCGATCGCACCCTCGCTGTCGTCACCAAGGTCGACCGCGCACCTGATGGCCTTTACGAGAAAATCCAAGGGAATTCCGTGCGGATTGGGCTTGGGTACGTGTGTGTCAGGAACAAGACTGACGCGGATGCCACTCATGAAGATGCACGGAGAGCAGAAGCGATTTTCTTTAACAGCCATCCGGAATTGAGACAAATCGACTCGCAGTCCCTTGGGATTCCCGCCTTGGCTGAACGCCTGACGGAGATTCAGGCTAAGCGGGTGGCAGAAAGCATCCCGAGGATCAGGCAAGCCATCCAGAAGGCGCTCGCTGCAAAGCAGTCTGAACTGCAAACAATCCCGCCTGCAGCCACGTCCACCGCTGCTGCTCTGGGAGTAATTTCTTCAGCGAATCCAGGAGCGGCGTGACCTGATGAGCGGCCTCATCGGCGGGAGGTACGATTCGCTTCAGAGCGACGAGGAGATGCACTACGCTGCGAGGCTGCACGAGAAGTTCATCAAATTCGAGGTTGACATGCGAGGTGCTCTCCCGAATTTCCTAGGTGCGGACTACACTGAAAGGTGTAAAAAGGCGTTGAAAGAGGTGGCGGGGATTTCACTCCCGAACATGCTGGATCACGCTGCTGTGAGGCAGCTGGTTCAGGAGGTGGTGGGGGGCATCGAAGGGCTGTGTATGCTCCTGGTGACAGACTGCTTTGCGTATGCGACTGAGGTGCAGGAAGCTGTGGTGTCTGATGTCTGCGGGGTATACCCCGAGCTGAGCAGCGTGGCCCAACTTCAAGGGCTGAATGCTCTGAGGGAGACCCAAGAGACTGCAAGCCGCTTCATTCAGGACATGCTGAAAAAGGAAAAGAAGGTGATTTTCACGGCCAACCACTACTATATGGATACTGTTTCTAAAATCCATGCGAGTATGGCCGAGTACAGCAGAGCCAAGGCTTATTCTCCTGTTCATACCCACCCTCCTGTACCCTCTGTTGAGGATATCGCTTCCAGCACTGCTTCACTCAGCAACCTGATCAGCAATGAGGACCAGGCAGCGAGGGACCTGCAGGCCAACATGTTTTCATATGCCAAGGTGATGCACAAGCGGCTGTGTGACGTTATCCCCATGGAGATTCGCATGTCTCTTGAGACTGCCCTGCTGGATGACACTGACAGTGCCCTGTGGCGGGAGGTTCACGACGGGGACATTCTCAAGATAGCGGCTGTCAAGGCAGCTGACCAGCAGCGCAGGGCTCGGCTGGAAGAGAGCATCAAAAGGTTGAAGGCATCTGAAGCCACGCTGCTGGGCCTTGCATCTGACGCTCCCAGGCTGCTAGCGGTAGCCTGAAATTTGCCTTGTTGTGTAAATGATGCTGCTGTGAATTCTTGCTGAAAGGTGTACAGTAGACATGCAGAATTGATAATTGTGCCCGTGTTCACGTCTCACCATGTCTGAATACCATATTGAGCGGATGCACGGGTGTTGTTGACTGAAGAGAACAGGAAGACAAAGAAGGTAGTGTTCTTGCTGCATCTATACGGTACCTGTATCATCATCTACCGCCATGCAATGCATGGCGACTCCACCTGGAAAGAACTTACGGTATGCTCTCACAAATCAGGCCTGAGGGCAAAAAAGGTAAGATGCTGGATCTTCCCGATGGTGTTTGCAGAATTTGATCAGCAGTACATGCATCTGCTTTATCCACAAGTCTGATAGGGTATTATTTGCTTCACTGCGATGCGTGTGCCACTGTTGTCTGCACGTTTCCACAACCACTTGCGAACGCTGCAACATCAACACGCTCCCGATGCTTTCATAGTTTTAACGTGGTTCAGCACGGTGCAACACCAGTCTGAGAAGAGCTTGGTCTGACACGGGGGGCTGTCGGAAGGAGGGCGCCCTAGGCCGTCGCAGCACTTTGCTGAAGCGAGTCCCACAGAGCTTCGCCCTCCTTGAATCCTGCCAAGTGAAGAGGAAACAAAATAGCCACATACCAGAGGGAATACATAGATGTCACCCATGTGTTTGGCTACTCTATTACTCCCAGCTCTGTGCACCTTGCACGTTTTATCGTGGTTGCAGTCAACTCTGGTCAACTGAAGTTAACTTCGGTCTACTGGCGTCAGACTGGTCTCATGGCATTCACCAACCATGGCGGTCAGGGCCGCAGTACACATCACCATAGTCCAAGTCTGGCAGACCACCTCTCCTCACAGCACTCACCGGGAGTGGAGGCGAGGGGCATGGCATGCACGCCATTCATGACACAGTGTACCGTGCATGCCTCGCCATAATCCAAGTCTGGCAGGAGCTTTGGTGTCAGCAGGAAGCACCTGCAGGGGGGGAGGGGTGCACGGGGGAGGAGAAGAGGAGGAGGGGTGCATTCAGAAACACACAGGTGCAAATGTGACAGACGATCATTGCAGGCACACATAGCGGTGCTCATTGGGGCAGTCCATGGCTTGAGAAACCATGCTAGACACACACGGCGTCACCTGCGATACACCTGTGTTTGAGATGCCTCAAAAGGTACACGTATGCTACGATGTACAAACCAATGCTGGTCCCAACCCATTGTGGGGCCCTTGCCCTCCCCATGGAATAATGAAGGCCACTCACTGTGGGGTGTGGTCGTGGGTGGCGGCGCGCACGAGCTGCTGAAACATGTTGCGCTCGTTGGTGGGGTCCATGCCCTGGTTGATCTCATCCACCACTCGGAATGGACAGCGTGTTAAGTCCTGCAGCGACACCAGGTACAGGATGGTTGACACAGAGCGCTCCTGGAAGGAGGGCAGGGAAGGGAGGGTACGGGAAGGGGAGGGTGGAAGATGCTGAGAATGACTTCATTCCTTGTGCCGAGTGGACTATGTGGTATGCACGTTACGTAGTGCAGTGTGAGCAGGTGTGGAGTGGTTGACAAAGGAGAAAGAGGAGGGGCGATGAGCGCAGCAGTAAGACAATAAGCAAAGGCAGGGTAACAACACGAAGCGACTTATGCAGAGGATGGAGTAGCACAGCAAGAACTCCTTTGAGAAACGCACCCCTCCGGACTGGTGGTGTGCACTCAAATCCTGTAGCTCTGCACTCTCCCTGATGCACGCATGGAGCACACGACGAGCAAGGAGCAGTGGATAACAGGGCAGAAGGGAGACGATGAGATGTGTGCACTACATTACAGGAAACTGCCTCTTGTGGGAAAGGAACCGATTTGAAAAGGACAAGTGCGTGCGATGGAATGACACACAAGCTGGTGAGAGCTTCTGGCGTGTTGGCATTGCCAGTATAGAAAGGGCATTCAAGAGACTTGCAATGAAGCACACTAGCAATTCCAATGGGTGTTATCATCCACCTGGAGCTGAATCACCTGAGGATGAATCACCTGAAGTTGAACCACCTTGACCGAGTTACCTAAAACTGAACCACCTGAATCACCTGAACTTGACTCGAATTCGAATGCCGTACGAACGAAAGTCAGCCCCCCTTTCATCTGAAGCGAGTCAAGCAGGCAAAGGTGCAAGCAATGACGGAAAGTGGGAAGGGTGGTGAGGTTGGAACGCACAAGGCAATTTGTTGACCAATAATTTCAAGAAGTCTTGAAATTTAGTGATCCGTTGGCATTGCCTGGTATGGTGGGTTGCAAATGACAAATGCAAAAGCACTGCTTCATCTGGTGCCATGCTGGCGACTCAAAATGACTCACTCCTCTACCCACGCCTTCTCACATTCATTCCCTCCCTCCAAGCCAACCTCCATACACTTGTTTCCCCTCCCCACTCACACGTTCGCTCCCTTTCCCCACACCACCCTATCCCCTCACTCTTCCCTCACTCACCTAGCGCCACCTCCCCAGCAACAGCCATTTCCCGGAAGTTTCTGGAGAAGGCCTCGTTGATGCGGACAATCAGCGAGCGGAGGCGCGGCAGCCAGAGACCCTGGGGATGGGACGGCATGGTGCCACGTGGCAAATGGGGATGAGATGGTGCCACGTGGCAAATGGGGATGAGATGGTGCCATGTGGCAAATGTGGATGAGATGGTGCCACGTGGCAAATGGGGATGACATGGTGCCACGTGGCAAATGGGGATGAGATGGTGCCACATGGCAAATGGGGATGACATGGTGCCACGTGGCAAATGGGGATGAGAGGTGCCACGTGACAGATGGTGATGGGACGGGAGTGGCGGACAGAATTAAGGTTAAAGCATGCTCCTCCTCATCAAATGTGACATTCACCAATTAAACACCCCCACACTCCTCGACCCCAGTGCTGGTCTCAACAGCTACACCCTATGCATATAACGCCCCACCAATATCGTCACACCTGCCATAACCCCATTGCACTCATTTGCACCCCCTCAACTTCCACCTTCAACACCTCCAGCCGCTCATTTTCACCTTCCTCAGTAATGCTCGCACACTGTCAAATTTTGTCGACTCAAAACTCTGAGACGGTGGTAACGCGCACTGTCTTCCCCCGTTACAGTCACAACACCCACCGCTCTCACACACCTGCACCACTGCAGCCCTGCGCCACTGCAGCTGCCACAATTACATCATCATGGTCACACCCACACCACCGCCTCCCTTATAATCACCTGCACGCGCTCCACCTCTGCCCTGAGCTCCTCCAGCTGCTGCCTCTCACTCTCCACCTTGCCCTGCATGCTGCGGATCTGCATGGCCGCACACACATGAAGGGGAAAAGGAGGGGAGGGAGGGGAAGGCGGTACACGGACGAGGGAAATGGCGGAAATGGGGAGAATGGAGGCAACGAAGGGTGGAAGGGGGGGGTCTTATCTTATTCTCCACCTTGGCCGCACCCTGCGGCTGCGGGTCTGGTCTGGTGGCGTGGAGTTCCGATGGGAACTGCTGCAGCACGTGCGGGTTGTGTGTGTGTGCATGATTGTGTCCCACTCCCCCCTCTCATCTCACCTGCTCCTGCCGCTCTTGAAATTGCTGCAGCACGTGCGGGTTGGGGCACACGATGCGGTTGGCCTGCCCTATGCGCTCCTCCACCTCCTCCTGCAGCTCCTCCAGTGAGTCGGGCAACTGAGGGCAAGCAACAACACAACAAAACACAACACGAAGGGCAGAAGACACGCACGCACAGCGAAGAACTTGTGGGGTTTTGAGGAGCCCTAGAAAATGCAGAGGTGAAGGTGCGGGGAGTCAGGCAGGCCTACGGGCATCAAAACTCGGCCAATGTGGACGACCTGATACCAGAGCACAGCACCCAGACCAGACGCAGGTTTCTGGAGGAGAGAGTTAGGGAAGACGGGGGGAAAGAACAATGTGGTAGATTACGGCTTGACTTGGATGGTGGGAAAGGAAAAAGTATCTAAATTCTTGCCCAACAGATTCAGAAAGCCTTGTGGCGTCCTCGTCTCTGGTTTACCCATTGCACCTGCTTTGAGCTGTTGCGAACGCCCCACTCACTCACCATCACCACTTCAAGAAGCCGCTTGACGCAACAAACACTTTCTCACCCATCCTCACCGTTTCAAACAGCCTCTTGGCCTCCTCGTCCCTCCTCAGGTCCACCACCGCTCTTGCCGCCTCCAGTGCCGCTGCTACCTCCTGCTTCGCTGCCTGCACCCGATCCTCCTCTGTGCAGACAGCGACGGGGAAGGGGGGACGCATAGGGGAAGCGGTAGGAATCTGGGTTAAAGGGGTGCGAGTCAGGTGGGTGACAATCGCCTGCTGCTGCCTCTTGCTTCGATGACTGCACCCGATCCTCCTCTGCACAGGCAGCAGGAGGGAAGAGGGGGAGTGGTAGGGGAAGGGGTAAGAAAGGAGGGGTGCGAGTCAGGTGTGTGCCAAAGTGCCTCTCCCTACGGAGTATGGAACGCAGTGGGAATTGCAGTTTAGAGAAAGCACTTCCTACCTACAATATCTTCCGCATATCATGCATGAACGCACGAACACACACTCGTCGGCCCTAAACAATTCACACCTGTCATTCCTACCACTCGCCCTTGGCGCTTCTTACTTCACATCCCCACTCGTCCCCACTCATCCCAACTCATCCCCACTCATCCCTACTCATCCCAACTCATCCCCACTCATCCCTACTCCTCCCAACTCATCCCCGCTTAGCCCCAACTCAGACGCACTCAGCCCCAATCATGCCCCCCCACTCCTCTCCACCCCCACGTACCGCGCATCACCTCCTGCTGCAGCTTCAGCAGCTGCTCGTCCAGCTCCTTGAACTCGCCCTCGCGCTCCCGCACCTTGGGGGGGGGAGGGGAGGGGGGGGAAATGGCAGGGCGCATGCAAAGCTATATTAAGTGCATGGCCATGTATGAGTGGGCTGGTTAAGAGCATGGCGCCTTGGTGCTTCAGCAGCTGCTCCTCCAGGTCCTTCAACTCGCCCTCGCGCTCGCGCACCTGGGAGGGGAGGAGAGGGGTGCATGATATGAAGCGAGGATATGGCATGTGGTGCATTGCTATATGGCACGTGGCATGTGGGGTATGGCTACGGCATGTGGGGTATGGCTACGGCATGTGGGGTATGGCTACGGCATGTGGTGTTACCGCGGTGCACATGACATGAGCATGGTGCGTGCATGTTATGTTACACATGTCATATGGTCAAGCTCGTGGGAAGTTACCAGGAAGGAGAGCTCGTCCACAGCAAGTTGCAGGGAGGAGAGGCGGCGCTTCTCCTGCCACAGGCTCAGCAGGTGCTTCTGGGGGCGGTGCACATAGGTAAAGGGGGGTGTTGAGGGAGGGGTGAACAGGAGGGTATGGACATGATTCGCAAAGAAGGTGCCGATTGGAGCAAGCAAGGCTCATTTGTGTCTTTAGACCCTTTCATGACACCAATGCACCAATTTGAAGCAAAGATTCGTTGGAAGAACACGGGAGTAAGGGGAGAAGGAAGGAAAGATGCGAAGGGAAAGGAGGAAGCAGTCTGCACGGGGGCGAGCAGTGGCTGGTCGCCACTGACATCACATGCACCTTCTTGGCATGTGCCCCGACTGCCTTCTTGGCATGTGCCCCGACTGCCTTTCCACACGCTGGGCAATGTCCAACCTTGCCCTCCTCCTGGCACTCACATGCTAGTTGTGAGTTGTGAGTTGTGCTCGTTCAAGCGCGTGCTAGATGTGCCACTCACATGCGTCTTCTTGGCATTGCTCAGCTGCCGCTCCATGCTGAGAGCAATGTCCGCCCTCGCCCTCCTCTCCACCTCCTCCATGTCCTCACTCCTCCCCAACGACGCCACCAGCTCACGCTTTTGCACTGCAGAGCGGAGAATGAGAAGAGGGTCGTATGGGGGAGGATAGGCAAGTCATAGGCAGAGGGATGAGAAGAGCCTCGGATAGAAGGTGGAAGGGACACCCTGCCTCCACCATCTCTCCCACTGAGCGCTGGAGTGGGGAGACAGAGAGGAGCAGGAGCAGGGTAAGGAGCCGGTGGGAAGCAGGGAGGGGAGAGGAGGAGAAGGAGGGGGGAGAGGAGGAGGAGGAGGGGGGGGAGAGGAGGAGGAGGAGGAGGAGGAGGAGGAGGAGGAGGAGGAGGAGGAGGAGGAGGAGGAGGAGGAGGAGGAGGAGGAGGAGGAGGAGGAGTAGGAGGAGGAGAGAGGAGGAGGAGGAGGAGGAGGAGGAGGAGGAGGAGGAGGAGGAGGAGGAGGAGGAGGAGGAGGAGGAGGAGGAGGAGGAGGAGGAGGAGGAGGAGGAAGAAGAAGAAGAAGAAGAGAGTGAAAAAGGTCTATGAAACGATTCAAGGGTGAGAGAGACTCACCAATTCGGTTCTGCAGGTCCGTGCGCTGTTTCTTCTGCCCATGGTACTCGTTCACAATCTCATCCTGTGGGGTTCAGTGCGGTACAGAGGAGTGTGGACTGGTTGAAAAAGGTATTGACGGGGCAGAATGCACACCGGCATGTGGCATACACGGCATGGAGATACGAGATATAAGAAAGGCTTACCCTCCTCCTTCCACCAGCAACAAAAACTGCCCGCTCCATGCCCCCCTCCCTCCATCCCTCAAACTCGAACCCCCTCTCGCCCTCTAGACACACACACACATATACATCCCTCACCCCACCCACCCCAACCCCACCTTATCCCACCTCACCACACCTCACCTCACCCCCACCTCACCCGCTGTCTCTCGCACTGTGCTGCCTCGGACTCCAGAGCACGCTGTTCCCGCCGCACAGCCTGCGCCCTCTCATGCAGCTCCCTGCCCCTCGCATCAATGCGCTCCTTCTCTGCCTGCAGCTGCTCCTCCTCCTGCAACCCCGACTCTGGCGCCCTCCACACACACACCCATACGGAAACAGTGACACGACACAGTGACACACAGGGACACACACGGACACACAGAGGTAGCAGAAGATATCAACACACAGGAGGAATCACATGGAAAGAGGGAGACAAGTGCAGATAACGAGTACACAAAACTGTCCAAGCACACATAAGGCAGGCAAACGCAGAAAAACAAGCGCCGTTAGATACTCTTAATGAAGGAAACGCTCGCATGGAAACATGACTGCAAACGAGTGGGATTAAAACATGAGGAGAAGTGCAGGCAGCTGGAGTGACAATGACCGACATTCAAGACATCTGCAGACTTGGACGTCAGAAACCATAGTAAATGAGTTACCGGTAGCGCAAGCTTTGCATGAGAGTGCAATGCAGCTGCAGGCGCCTTGGTGGAAGAAGCAAGGGGGAGGGGTGCACCTTGGGAGAAGAGGCGGGAGGGGTGCACCTTGGGAGAAGAGGCGGGAGGGGCGGACGTCGTAAATGGTGGCGGAGATGGAGCCGTTGTATCGCGAGCGCAGCCAGCGGTAGTGGCTGCCTGGCGTCCACAGGTCCTCCACTCCCCGCCCCTGTATCTCCCCCGCGTTCCCATCCGCATCTTGCGACCCAATGAACTGCAGTGTGAGTGGGCAGCAGGAAAGGGAGGGAGCAAGGCAGGGAAGCATGCCATGCCAGCCAGCACAGCTGAGTCCTCTAAGCCCCTGCATGCCATGCCTTGTATCCCGTCTGCATGGAGCCGTGCGAGGCAGAGAGGGAGAGCGGTTGTAGCACGAAAGCAGCCTTGGGTAGTGGCTGCCGGGCGCCCACCGATCCTCCACCCGCTGCTCACTGTATCACCTCCGCGTTCCAATCGGCATCTTGAGATCCAAATAACTGTATTGTGCGGAGTGGTGTGTTGTGGTGGTAACACAAAGGAGGGGGAGGCGGAGAAACGAGAGTGAGCAGCTGCCTTTATCCGTAGGTCCTCCACTCCCCACCCCTGTATTGCCTCCACGCGCTGGCCTGCATAATGTGAGCCGATCAACCGCCGGGGCGGGATGCTCATGCCTATGGGACGAGGGCGAGGGACGGACAAGGGACAGGGGATAAGAGTGTGGGACGTACGCATGAGGTCGCATGCCCATGCATGCAGACGAAATAATTCACGCATGTGAGTCACACGCACGCACACATGTCAGCATGCAGCAGTCACGGATCGCCACCCATGCATGGGCAGGGCACACACTGATGAACGCACATGCTTGTGAGCATGCAGAACTCACAGACTCACTCATGCATGTGACCATGCAGAACTCACAGACTCACTCATGCATGTGACCATGCAGAACTCACAGACTCACTCATGCATGTGACCATGCAGAACTCACAGACTCACTCATGCATGTGACCATGCAGAACTCACAGACTCACTCATGCATGTGACCATGCAGAACTCACAGACTCACTCATGCATGTGAGCATGCAGAACTCACAGACTCACTCATGCATGTGACCATGCAGAACTCACAGACTCACTCATGCATGTGAGCATGCAGAACTCACAGACTCACTCATGCATGTGACCATGCAGAACTCACAGACTCACTCATGCATGTGAGCATTGTCGGAGATCTCCTCTTCCTTACCTCGTCTCTTGGCTTCTTCCTCCCTTGACTTCTTACCCTTCTTCTTCCTGTTCTTCCCGTACTTCCCTGCCTGCCTGCAGACTCTGCGTGCTTTTGCCTCAGCCACTACCGAGAGAATCGTGCTCCCACCCAATGGCTGCCCACAGTGGCTTAGAGCTACCTAGCTGGAGTTAGCTTAAACCGGCAACTACAATCCACTCTATGAGGCAAACAAAGCGAGAGAACAGGCTCAATTGGCTAGGCTAGGCTACTTTATTCCCACTCTGAGTTTTGGCAATTGCCATCACCTTGAGTTGGGTTCGGGTCGCCTTGTGCCCTTACTGGTCAATGCAGATTTCCTGTCCCTCGAGGCGCCTTGTCACATTTCCCAATGCCCCCAATTCCCCATGCCATCAACTTCGCGTCATTCCCCTGGCCCAAGGAATCCCCTACACCCGAATGGCATAACCCCACCCTACACCCTTCTACACCCATTCTAGCAAGCAACAGAATATATTGTTCTTTACCACTATATTTGTTGACAGCATGCAGAACTCACAGACTCACTCATGCATGTGACCATGCAGAACTCACAGACTCACTCATGCATATAACCATGCAGAACTCACAGACTCACTCATGCATGTGACCATGCAGAACTCACAGACTCACTCATGCATGTGACCATGCAGAACTCACAGACTCACTCATGCATGTGAGCATGCAGAACTCACGAATCAACACCCACGCACGAGAACCCACTGACGAGCGGTCAGCAGGCAGCATGCAGCACTCATGTACAGACACTCACAGAGCGGAAGAGCTGCGACTGCTGGTTGAGCACACTGCGCACCACTGGGGCCGCGTTGAACACCTCGTCCAATCGGTGCGTGACACCTAGGCGCTGTAGCTGTTGGGGAGAGAGGCATGCAGGAGGGAGTGTGGAGGAGAGAATGAGAGAGGGAACGTGAGGGAGCAAGGGGGGACGAAGGAGGGCGGGAGGAAGAAAGAGGCAGGGAGAAAGAGGCAGGGAGAAAGAGGCAGGGAGAAAGAGGCAGGGAGAAAGAGGCAGGGAGAAAGAGGCAGGGAGAAAGAGGCAGGGAGAAAGAGGCAGGGAGAAAGAGGCAGGGAGAAAGAGGCAGGGAGAAAGAGGCAGGGAGAAAGAGGCAGGGAGAAAGAGGCAGGGAGAAAGAGGCAGGGAGAAAGAGGCAGGGAGAAAGAGGCAGGGAGAAAGAGGCAGGGAGAAAGAGGCAGGGAGAAAGAGGCAGGGAGAAAGAGGCAGGGAGAAAGAGGCAGGGAGAAAGAGGCAGGGAGAAAGAGGCAGGGAGAAAGAGGCAGGGAGAAAGAGGCAGGGAGAAAGAGGCAGGGAGAAAGAGGCAGGGAGAAGAAAGAGGCAGGGAGAAAGAGGCAGGGAGAAAGAGGCAGGGAGAAAGAGGCAGGGAGAAAAGAGGCAGGGAGAAAGAGGCAGGGAGAAAGAGGCAGGGAGAAAGAGGCAGGGAGAAAGAGGCAGGGAGAAAGAGGCAGGGAGAAAGAGGCAGGGAGAAAGAGGCAGGGAGAAAAGAGGCAGGGAGAAAGAGGCAGGGAGAAAGAGGCAGGGAGAAAGAGGCAGGGAGAAAGAGGCAGGGAGAAAGAGGCAGGGAGAAAGAGGCAGGGAGAAAGAGGCAGGGAGAAAGAGGCAGGGAGAAAGAGGCAGGGAGAAAGAGGCAGGGAGAAAGAGGCAGGGTGAAAGAGGCAGGGAGAAAGGAGGACGACGAGGGGAGGAGGGAAGAGGGGACGATGAGGAAGATGAGGGAGGGGGAGAATGAGGAAGTGTGGACCAAGAGGGGTCATAGCACGTGAGATCATTGCACAGAGCAAGCAAAGCATCAAAGCTGGTGTCAACACAGCAAGCATACATAGAACTGCATGTGCGCGCACCACTGTAATATGCGCATCACTCACATGTGCATCCACCGCCATGGCATGTGCATCACTCACATATGCATCCACTGCCATGGAATGTGCATCACTCACATGTGCATCCACCGCCATGGCATGTGCATCACTCACATGTGCATCCACCGCCATGGCATGTGCATCACTCACATGTGCATCCACTGCCATGGCATGTGCATCACTCACATGTGCATCCACCGCCATGGCATGTGCATCACTCACATGTGCATCCACCGCCATGGCATGTGCATCACTCACATGTGCATCCACCGCCATGGCATGTGCATCACTCACATGTGCATCCACCGCCATGGCATGTGCAGGAGGGCCCAGCTCCTCAGGGCGACTGCTCTCATTGACCACAGCCACGCCCAGGGGCTGCAAATTTGGCACCAGCAGGTCTCGATCCTCTGGCACTGTTGTCACAAAGGCCTGACGGGGGGAGGGGAACAGAAGGAGGAGGAGGACAGGAGAAGAGGAGAAGAGTAGATGGGGCCAAGAGGCAGTTCCTTGCTAGCTTTCCACGCCCACTTCATGTTTGAATTCATTCAAATACCAGGCTCGTCACATGCAGGCAGCATTCAAACAAGGTTCAAGAGTAATGACTTGTTCACCTTCCACACCCACGCTGCCACGTGCTGCTCCAGAAACGCCCCGTGTGCATCGGGGTCGATGACGTTCACCTGCACGTGGGTGTGGTGTGGTGGAGTGGAGGTGGAATGGTTTTTGAGGCGCCTCAAAAGTGCTGCTCCAGTTTTGTTTTGAGGCGCCTCAAAACTCAAAACTGAGGCGCCGCAAAAGTGCTGCTCCAGAATGGCCGCATGAGCATCGCATCGGGGTCGATAACGTTCACCTGGGGGTGCCGGGGGAGGCGGGTGGAATGGAAGAGGGCGTGGGAGCAGAGGGCAACGCAGACCAGTCCGGGTCGATGGCGTTCTCCTGAGGGTGCGGGGGTGTTCAAAGGGGCAAGGCGCACCACTCACCTCACAGCTCTGGAACGCTCTTATCGCTCGATAATTCTTAACAAAACACCTGTAACGCTTGCCGGTCTCTAATCAGGAAACTGATGCGAGCAGATGGAGTGTAACAGGGTTCCTACAATTTTTTTTCACCCGCATGCGGCAAGGGTCCCTCCCACCTCAGCAAGAATGGGCCCGTAGACGGCCCCCTTGCAGCTCATTTCCAGACCTCTCAAAGCTCAACGCCACCTCTCAAAACCGCATCCCACCTCAGCAAGAATGGGCCCGTAGACAGCCCCCTTGCAGCGAGCGCGGTTGTGGTCCAGCCACTCACACGCCTGCTTCAGATCCCTGTCTCCCGCCCGCTCAATGCGCCGGTTGCGACTGTTGGCCACCTCGTGCATGCTGGTAGGGGGAGGGGGGGAATGGTGGGGAAGGTGGGTGGTTGGGGGGTGGGGTGGGGGGGCATGAGACCTCTCAGAACCCGCTCTATGCGCCGGTTGCGACTGTTGACCACCTCATTAATGCTGATGTGCGGAAGGGGATGGGGGAGTAGATGGGTAATTGGTTGGGGGGTGGGGTGGGGGGGCATGAGACCTCTCAGAACCCGCTCTATGCGCCAGTTGCGACTGTTGGCCACCTCGTGCATGCTGGTGGGTGGGGGGTGGAAGGGGAAGGGAAGGGTGAGAGGGAAGGGTGGAAGGGAAAACAGGGAAGTTGGAGGGAAAGCGGGAAGTGGGAGGGAAAGGTGGGAGGGAAAAGGGGGAAGTGGGAGGGAAGGGTTTCGAGACGTCCCAAAACCTGCTCTATGCGCCTGTTGGCCACCTCATGCATGCTGCCTGCGTGGGACAGGACAGGGGGGAGAAAGGATGGAGAGGTGGGGGTTGAAGTTTGGGGCAGGCAAGGGTGTGCGAGGGGAGGTGGTGTGCGAGGGGAGGTGGTGTGCGAGGGGAGGTGGTGTGCGAGGGGAGGGGAGGGGAAGGGGTTGACACGTGTCAAGGCCTGCTCTATGCCCCTCGGACAGTTGCGACTCTCTTGAGACTATTCCGTTCGCATGCACGAGGCGCTCAACCGAAGATGGAACCCAGCATGACTCGCTTGGAAGTTGGAACCGAGATTGAAAGATGATTCATTGAGGATGCTCTTTAAACCCTCTTCAATATACGCACTCCCTTTAAACCCACTCAGAAGTTATAACCCAGCTGCCGCTTTCCTTCTCACCCCCTCTCACCCCTCTCACTCTCTCCCTCACCCCTTCTCACCGTCTCTCCACGCGTCCCATCTGCTCCCTCAAAACGCTCATCTGCTGCTCCAGCTGCCGCCCCTCGCGCTCCTTCTCCCCCGCCTGCATCCGCAGCTCCCTCCCTCGCCTCGCCAGGGGGTCCTGCCACCAGCCAGCACGAAGCCAGCACGGAGGGGGTGAAACAAACGGGGGACGGGGAGAGAGAGAGTTGTGAGGTGCTTAAGAACGAAGGGGGGGGCGGGATGGGGGAGTGGGGGGAGAGGAAGGGGGGAAGAAATTGAGCTGCATGCGGAGGAGAAAGAGGCACGCATGCATGCATGCAAGCAAGCAATGAATCTGGTCACCTTCCATCTGCCATGGGGCATGGCACTGTGGCTTCAACTTCCAACCTTCAATCCTGGTTTCACATCACACTCAAGAATACCATTTCCGCTAAGCGAACATATACGCTCATCTTTTTTAGCGTCCAGTCACTGTGCTGTGTATGCATGCTGCTGGACACTCACGCTTACCTCTCTTTTCTAGCACACTCTAAACAAGCTTGGTGTGTTTTGAGTCGACTCAAAACACACACCCTAAACAAGCTTTCGCGCAGCAACTTCTATTTTGACGCGGCACAAATTCGTCAAGCCCTGGTACAAATCGCTCAGCCAAATAGAACAGAAACCTAAACCCCTCATGGACATTCCCGCACTCAACCACAAGGGCAGCCTTGGGCGGCCATGCCTCCCTCCCCCCCACCCCCCTCCTTCTCTCATCACACACCATGGCGGCCTTGGGCGGTTTGACCTCCGGCAGGGCGGCCAGCTGCGCCTGCAGCTGCCGCACACACGCTCTCACTGCACTGCCCCACGCCCCATGCCCATGACCCCATGCCCCATGCCCTATGCTCCCTCTCCTCCAACGCACCACAGCAGCCTTGGGCGGTTTGACTTCCGGCAGGATGGCCAGCTGCGCCTGCAGCTGCCGCGTTCACTCTCTCACAACACTGCCCACGCCCCATGCCCATGATCTCATGCCCCATGCTCCCTCCAACGCACCACGGCGGCCTTGGGCGGTTTGACCTCGGGCAGGGCGGCCAGCTGAGCCTCCAGCTGCTGCAGGTCCTCTTGAGCCTTCGCCAGCCGCTGCTCGCGACTCGCTGCCTTCCTCCGCGCCTCCACCACGTCCCGCTCCCTCTCCACCGCCTGCTGCACCTGTGGGGGCAGAGAGGGAGAGACAGGGTATAATACAGTGTACGGTGTAGGGAGTTCTGTCCGTAACAAACTAAGCTGCTCTCGCTCTCTTGCCCTTTGCTGTGCACCTCCTCCATCCGAGCATCCCTTCCCGCTCCCTCTCCACCGCCTGCTGCACCTGTGGGAGCAGAGAGGGCGAGAAAGTGTAGTGTGGGAGATGTGAGGCGTCTTTTGAGTCGACTCAAAAGTCAGAGAGGGCGAGAAAGTGCGTGGGGGATGTGAGGCGAGAGGAGCTCTTTCAAGTTGAAGCTGCTCGCCCTCTCCTGGCTTGTGCACCTCACCCAGCATGCCTCGCTCGCTCTGCACCGCCTGCTGCATCTGTGGGGGCAGAGAGGGCGAGATTGTGTAGAGTGTACGGAGTGAGGAGCTCTAGAAATAAACTAAGCTGGTCTCTCTGTCTTGCCCTGAGCTGTGCACCTCCCCACCGAATCCCTTCCTCTTAATGGAGGCACGCAGCTGTGAGATGTGAGGAGAGTGCGTCAATACTATCCTTAGCCACCCTTCACCGCTCACCAGCTGCTCGCTCTCCTCACCAGCTGCTCACTCTTTCCCCCATCGCATCTCACCAGCTGGTCGCTCTCCTCTGCCAGTTCCCGCAGCTTCCTATCCCTCGCCTCGTTCTCGCGCCCTATCTTCGCCACCAGCGATTGCAAACCCCCCCGGCTCTCCTTCAACGCTCTGCGGGGGGGGGGAGAGTGGCGGAGAGGGGTTGAGATTGCGGGAGGGATGGTGGGGAGGATTGAGAAAAGTAAAAGGCAGACCACCAACCTGAATCCACAAACTGTTAACTGGTAACCCTCTGACATCCTCTAACACTCGGCACTCACACGAGGGGGTCCCGGGCGGCCATGACTCACACGAGGGGGTCCCTGGCGGCCATGACTCACACGAGGGGGTCCCGGGCGGCCATGACTCACACGAGGGGGTCCCTGGCGGCCATGACTCACAAGAGGGGGTCCCTGGCGGCCATGACTCACAAGAGGGGGTCCCTGGCGGCCATGACTCACACGAGGGGGTCCCTGGCGGCCATGACTCACACGAGGGGGTCCCTGGCGGCCATGACTCACACGAGGGGGTCCCTGGCGGCCATGACTCACACGAGGGGGTCCCTGGCGGCCATGACTCACACGAGGGGTCCCGGGCGGCCATGACTCACAAGAGGGGGTCCCTGGCGGCCATGACTCACACGAGGGGGTCCCGGGCGGCCATGACTCACACGAGGGGGTCCCTGGCGGCCATGACTTGTGTCTGCAGTTCATCCCTCTCCTTGTGCCTCGCCTCCACCGCTACCTCCATCTCCCTCACGCGCCGCTTCATGCGCTCGTACTTGAGCCATGGCACCTTCTTCTTCATCAGCGCTACCTGCATGGGGGGAGAGGAGGAGGGGGGGAAAGGGAGCGGAAGGAGGAACGAGTGAGAACGTCATCGGCAGCCGCTTCATGCGCTCGTACTTTAATCAGAACACCTTCTCCTTCATCAGTGCTAATTGTATGGGGGGAATGGGAGAGGGGGATGGAGGGTGGGAGGAGGAGAGAGTGAGACCTCCCTCGCCTGCCGCTTCACGCTCGTACTTGAGCCATAGCACCTATTTTGTTAGCGCTACCTGATAGTGGGTAATGAGTCGAGTTTTGAGTCGACTCAAAACTCGACTCATTACACATAGCGCCTATTTTATTAGCGCTACCTGATAGTGGGAGAGGGGAGAGAGGGGAGAGGGGAGGTGGGAGAGGGGAGAGGGGAGAGGGGAGAGGGGAGAGGGGAGAGGGGAGAGGGGAGAGGGGAGAGGAAGAAAGAGAGAGTGGGGCAGTTGTCACACGCCGCTTCACCCACTCGTACAAATCTGAGCGCTTTTGAGAATTCTCTGAATCCGCTAAATCTGAGTCGCTTTTGAGGATTCTAAAAAGCGGCAGAGTCGCTTTTGAGAATTTTCCAAAGAGGGGCAGTTATCACGCGCCGCTTCACCTTATCGCCTCTCACATCCTCTTCCACAACAATCCTCACCTCCTTGAGAATGGCCTCCCTGCGTTGCACCTTCTCCACATCCACCTCCACCTGCGCGTTCGCCACCTGCAGCTTGCCCAGCTGCTCCTCGTGTGACACCAACGTCTGCGGCGCATGGGGGCAGGAAAGCAGGGGGGCATGGGGGCATAGCATAAGTGGGTTAGGTTAAAAAACACCCGCGCATGTAAAGAGCCTCCTTTTGAACATGTACCAGCACTTGGGTTGAAAAACACCTGTGTAGGCTCATATGCTCTTTGAAAAGTCCAATACATGCCCACCCAGCACTGGAGGAATGCGTACTTCCTCCTCAGGGAAAAGAAAACAACGGGGAGAAGAAAACAACAGGGAAAAAAAAAACAACAGGGAAAAGAAAACAACAGGGGAAAAAAAAAAAACAACAACAGGGAAAAGAAAACAACAGGGAAAAGAAAGCGCGGCCCATCTCACGGCGTGCAGGGTGGCGAGGGCGTCCTGCTGGTCTTTGAGGAAGGCGTGCTGCTGGGACAGCTGTGGGTCGCCCACCGCCCTCTGCGTCTCCTCCAGCAGCTGTATGGGAGACATGCCTGCGAACGCACACACGCGGTCCTGAGGGAGGAACTGCGGACGAGAAGGGAAAGGGGGTGGGACAGGATGGGAAAGGGGAAGGGGGAAACGAAGGGAAGTGGGAGGAGGTTCGATTGAGGGGGACCTCCCAGCAGCTGTTCCAGCGACATGCGTGCGAACGCACACACCCAATCCTGTGGAAGGAAGTGCAGGTGAGAGAGAGGGCGGAGGGAGATGAGGTTTGATAAATGGAGATACACTGGCAGCTGCGCTGCACCGGTGACATGCCCGCGAAGCAAATGCACACATGTGCAACTGCAGCTGAGGAATTTGGGGAGATGCGGAGGCGTGGCTGGAAGTGGAAGTGGGATTTGGGTGAAGGGAAGCAGCATGACGGGGGCGGGGTGGAAGATAGAGGGGGAGCGAGGTGGGGTGGGCTGTTGTGCATGTCTGCATGTCTTTAAAGGCACACAGCGTGGCCCACTGTACTTGCCTGAGTGAGGTTGGAGATCTGGATGTTGAAGTGCTTCATGCACTCCTGCACCTGCTCCCGCCGCACGCCCTTCCCTGCCCAGGGGTGAAAAGAGCGCATGGTAGGAGGGAGGAGAGAGAACATGGGAAGAGGGGGAAGAGCGGAGGGGGAGGAGCGCACTCAAAAATTGATGCAAATTCAATCATGCAACACGGGTGTACTATTTTTGGGAAGGCACGGCATTGGAATGCTACAAGTTGAGTTAAATGGTGCCCAAATCTCGCCTGGAACGCCGAGTTTAAAGACTTCCCAAAGCACGTCATACCGATGGAAAACTAGTCAGAGCGAATCTCAGTGGCGATACTTCCCGTGACATGCCTTTCAAGTCGACTCATAGGTCATACAGTTGAGGAGCCAGTAAGTGATGTTCTCTGTGGTAATCCTGCTCGTGTCCTGCCTTGCCTTCTGAACATACTCAAAAGCCATACCATTGAGCAGCCAGTCGGTGCGGTTCTCAATGGAGATCCTGCGCGTGACCTGCACCTCCTCCCCCGCCACGTCCCCCCGCAGCACGATGTTAATCTCCGCACTGCGCTCCCCCCGCTGCACAAACTCCCCCACGTGCGCCGCCCGCCCCAGCATCTGCCACCCAACACAGAAGGGAGGGGGGCGTAGAAGGGGGGGGAAACAGGGGGGCGAGAATGGCAAGGGGTGGGTAACTTTAGGAATTCTCGAAAGGCAAGTCAAGCAGTCTTTCCAGTCAAGCCAGTCCCAATCCTGCACACTGTCTCGGAGTCCAATGGTCCCATCCATCATTGGACTGCGTCACTGCACCACACTCTGCCTGCTATTACCCGTCAGTGATAGATAGAAAGAGCGAGAGCAGCGCTCACCCACCTTGGGATCTCCGCCCAGCCCCAGACCGATGGCGCAGACGAGGGAGCTCTTGCCCAACCAGAAAGAGCATAATGGCTGGTTACCTTGGGCTCTCCGCCCAGCCCCAGGCCGATGGCGCAGACGAGGGAGCTCTTGCCCAACCAGAAAGAGCATAATGGCTGGTTACCTTGGGCTCTCCGCCCAGCCCCAGGCCGATGGCGCAGACGAGGGAGCTCTTGCCCAACCAGAAAGAGCATAATGGCTGGTTACCTTGGGCTCTCCGCCCAGCCCCAGGCCGATGGCGCAGACGAGGGAGCTCTTGCCGGAGCCGTTGGGCCCCACGATGAGGTTGAGGCGCGGCGAGGGGCGCGCTGAGATGGACGCGTACGTCATGAAGTGCTGCACCTGCACCAATAGGATGTTGCCAGGCTGGAACCCGTCCTCGCCTCTGATTGGCGGGTGGGAGAGAGGGGCGTGGGGGTTGTGGGGCAGAGGGGCGAGGGAAGGGGCGTTGGTTGTTGAGGAAAGAGTGGTCAGGCTGAAATAGTTTCCCGCCAATGTTAGAATTGGCAGGAGGAAGGGGAGAGAACAACATGGGTGCGGAAAGGGGAGGGCGGAGGAAGGGGAGGGGAGTGGAAGGGGAGGGGGGGTTGTGTTGGGAAGCTGGAAGGTGGGAAGGGGTGGTCCTGAGGAGCAGGCAACGTAAGTACAGTGGTATGGCGCTAGGAATCATTCTTACGTATGATTCCTCACGAATCATACTTTGAGGCTTCTCAATGGTAGTACCGTGGCATGGCGCGAGGAAGAGCCACTGTTGCCTGTGTCGGCGTGCCTTCAGGTCCGTCCCGATCCTCCCCCATACCGGACGGAGTAACTGGACGTTCGGCGTCCTCTTCAGGGTCGGCGCGTTCGCGAGCGCGAGGCTGCGTGCTAGGTCCGGCAGCCTGCGAGTCCCGAACGTAGCCATCTGGCTCGTAACCCTCAGCCTCGGCATGATAGCCGGTGTTGCTTTCGACCACTTTATCCTTGCCCTTGGCGCGAGAGACGTTTTCCCGCTTCGCCGCGACAGCAGCCTCCCGTTTCACCATTTCAGCTTGGCGTCTCGCAGCCACGTCAGCTTCCCGTTTCACTGGGCCCGCGGCTCGCTCTCGCTTCACCACGTTAGCGGGCTGCTGCGAAGCGGAACCACTCGCGCCCTCCGTCCTAAGCCGCTTGCTCCTGCGATTCCCGCTTTCATCTGAGCCGTTCATCTCCGCATGACGATCATCGCGCCCTTCGCGCGTCGTTTGTGGTTCGCCAGCGGCCTCCCCCGCGGCTACCTCTGCAACCCCCGCTGTCCCCGCTACCTCGTTCGCCTCCTCCGCATCCTCTCGCTCCAACTCCTCCTGCACGCTCGTCGACCGGGTCACGCGCCTCGACGGCTCGCCTGAACGACTAACGCGCTCCCGCTTCGGCGCCATGAGCCTCGCTTCACACGTGGATGACTAAAGCGACGGGTTAGAGCTCGACGCGATTTACGTTCACGCCATTACAGTGTGCGCCATTGGAAAAATAATGAGACCTCTCGAGACTGACCGAAAGGATACTGTAAGGTACGAGAGCTTAATAAGCAGAGAAATATGAACATCCCAAACCGAGACTCGTAGCCGAGCAAGAGTGACGACCAGAGGGTAGCGGACTATCGAGGTCCCTAAAGAATGGAAAGCATATTCCCAGGGTTGTGGTACCTTCGGTTGAGTGCCCGAATTTCGCCGTACTGTACTTCCGAAACGCGCCTAGAAATGTATCATGTTGCAACTATGGAAACGCTGTCTGTACAGTACATGGTTCGTTTTCCACCCATTTGGCTATCCCTGCCGGAAACCCTCCGCAATGAGAGCACGTGCATGTAGTGTAGCTACTCGAGAGAAACTAATATATACATACTATTAAGCAATGTCAGCATAAAACCAGCATTAGGCTATTAGCCAATCAGTGCCACAAGAAATACCGTATACAGGATACTTGTGGCACGTATCAAACCTTCACTCTCCTCAGATAGTAAGCATTCCACAGAGTCCATCATCTCACGACTGAATCTTGATGGCAACTTTCATGTTGCCGGGCGAGCAGTGGCCAGGCACACTGCAGGAGAAGTATAGGGTGTTGCCCCTTGCTGACGCTGGCACCTTGTACCTGAGAAGGTGTGAAGGGCAGAAAAACAGGCAGGCGACACTTCAGATATATGACAGTACAGCAGTCGACTAATTTGAAACAGTCCAGCCATCCTAGAGAAATCAGCCAGTCAAGCCATCCAAGGCAATGATCCAATCTGGCTAGAAAAGGGTATGCCCACCTGTACGTCTTAGAGTTGACAATCCGTGTGAGCTTCTTAGCAGCTCCGAAGTTACAGCTTTCATACGTGTCCTCTGAGTCCATGAGAACCACATCATGTGGAATGACACCCCGCCACGTGAACACTGCAGGAGCATTGTTGCGCCACATATAGTGAGAGATTAGTATATGAAAGCACACTGGAATCAGTGATGGACTGGATGCTATGGGTAACGGACTACGCTCACGTGCCATACATCGCGAGCCACAAGTCACAGGCCATGAGCAACGGCAGGGTATAGAGGGGACATTAAAAAACTTTAGATGCCTCAAAGCTCACTGCTTTTTGAGTAAATGTAGAGCCGAGCAACAACATATGCCATAGTAGCAGGAAGGTAGGAGGGCACGAGTAGCAGGAAGGCAGGAGGGCACGAGTAGCAGGAAGGCAGGAGGGCACGAGTAGCAGGAAGGTAGGAGGGCACGAGTAGCAGGAAGGTAGGAGGGCACGAGTAGCAGGAAGGTAGGAGGGCACGAGTAGCAGGAAGGTAGGAGGGCACGAGTAGCAGGAAGGTAGGAGGGCACGAGTAGCAGGAAGGTAGGAGGGCACGAGTAGCAGGAAGGTAGGAGGGCACGAGTAGCAGGAAGGTAGGAGGGCACGAGTAGCAGGAAGGTAGGAGGGCACGAGTAGCAGGAAGGTAGGAGGGCACGAGTAGCAGGAAGGTAGGAGGGCACGAGTAGCAGGAAGGTAGGAGGGCACGAGTAGCAGGAAGGTAGGAGGGCACGAGTAGCAGGAAGGTAGGAGGGCACGAGTAGCAGGAAGGTAGGAGGGCACGAGTAGCAGGAAGGTAGGAGGGCACGAGTAGCAGGTAGAGGAGGGCACGAGTAGCAGGAAGGTAGGAGGGCACGAGTAGCAGGAAGGTAGGAGGGCACGAGTAGCAGGAAGGTAGGAGGGCACGAGTAGCAGGAAGGTAGGAGGGCACGAGTAGCAGGAAGGTAGGAGGGCACGAGTAGCAGGAAGGTAGGAGGGCACGAGTAGCAGGAAGGTAGGAGGGCACGAATAGCAGGAAGGTAGGAGGGCACGAGTAGCAGGAAGTTAGGAGGGCACGAGTAGCAGGAAGGTAGGAGGGCACGAGTAGCAGGAAGGTAGGAGGGCACGAGTAGCAGGAAGGTAGGAGGGCACGAGTAGCAGGAAGGTAGGAGGGCACGAGTAGCAGGAAGGTAGGAGGGCACGAGTAGCAGGAAGGTAGGAGGGCACGAGTAGCAGGAAGGTAGGAGGGCACGAGTAGCAGGAAGGCAGGAGGGCACGAGTAGCAGGAAGGTAGGAGGGCACGAGTAGCAGGAAGGTAGGAGGGCACGAGTAGCAGGAAGGTAGGAGGGCACGAGTAGCAGGAAGGTAGGAGGGCACGAGTAGCAGGAAGGTAGGAGGGCACGAGTAGCAGGAAGGTAGGAGGGCACGAGTAGCAGGAAGGTAGGAGGGCACGAGTAGCAGGAAGGTAGGAGGGCACGAGTAGCAGGAAGGTAGGAGGGCACGAGTAGCAGGAAGGTAGGAGGGCACGAGTAGCAGGAAGGTAGGAGGGCACGAGTAGCAGGAAGGTAGGAGGGCACGAGTAGCAGGAAGGTAGGAGGGCACGAGTAGCAGGAAGGTAGGAGGGCACGAGTAGCAGGAAGGCAGGAGGGCACGAGTAGCAGGGAGGTGACATCGCGACGCACCGAGCACATCGCCAACACGAGCAGCCGTTGAGGGCCGCCAGTTGTGCAGGTTGTAGCGCCAGGGACTGCGCCCCCTGCCACCCACAGTGATCGCTCTGGCCTGAGGGGCATCAGGGGAAGGGCACGATGAGAGAGGCGTTTTGTCTCCAATGAAACATGCAATGAATTGGATGCACACGAGGGAAGAAGGCAACGCAACGTATACAAAACACGCAATGAAATGGCCAATACTGAGATGAACCGTAAAGGCGATGGCTGGTTTGACAATAGGTTTTACACACCAGAAACACGTCAGATTAGCTTGTCGTGGCATACTCCCCAGTTATGAAGGGATCTAACATGCAGATTATAAGTCAGGAAGGATAATCCAGCAGGGGAGTGAATTTGTACCTCTGCTTGGGCTGCGCCTGAAGGCCGGAAAGAATTCATTTCATTCAGCCGAATTGATGGGTTGCGAGATGGCATGATAAAACAGGAGACACGGAAACACAGGGCAACGGGGGGAATAGAACAAAGAGATATGGGGAGAGACAGCAGAACAGAGGAACAGTGGGAGAGGGAAACGTAGCAAATAGGGAGACAGGGAAGCATAGAGAATGAGAGAGATACGGAAGCACGGAAGCAGGAAGAGATGGAAGCACTGGAACAAGGAGTGAAGGAGGACAGAAGACAGGGAAGGAAGCACAGAGAGACAGGAAGGAGGAGGGTATGAGTGTGTTGCTGAATGGTTTAAACAGCATCCGAAAGTGATACGGCAAGAGGACTGGAGCGGGAGACGAGCAGATTTCGGTAAAGGCGACGCGAGGCCAAAGAGAATCAGTGAACTGAAAGCGATGCCTTTGAATTGAAAGACTTTGACTGATGAGCGTGAGGAAGAGGCCGACTAAGCAACGAACGCAACGAGGCGAGAGCAGACGGTTCAAGCAGAAGGCAGACGTACAGAGCAGGATGAGAAGCGCGGCAGTCCCAAGGGCGACGACAGGAAGCGAGCGAGCCATGGTGATAAGCGAGGCGAGGCTTCAAGGGATTATACGGTTTCCGACGCGCCTCGAAAATGGGGGAGGCTTGGACAGATGTGACTAGAGTCGGACGCTGCGACGCTGCAGCGCCGAACGGTCGCGCGAAGCGGCAGGAGGAAGACGGCGACTGTCGTCGGAATCGCCGAGCGATCAGATACACCTTGACAGAAGGAAGGTATTAGAAAGGTGATTGACCTTGCTCTACTATCTTCCAAAAACCACGCTCTCAAGCGGCGGTTGATAGACGTTCACGGTTTAGGCGATAGAAGCTATATGTCAGCCCTGCCTAGCATTAAGTGTTTGCTCCGAGACGCCTCAAAAGCACGGCTTAGGTGATAGACGCGCTGTGTCAGTCCTGACAGTCCTTAACCGCCGCGCGCGATCTCAGATCTGTGTTTGAACCGCCTGGGCTTCGCGAATCCAGATTTTCTGCGGCGGTGAAGGAAAAATGCGTGCGAAGACCGCAGAGACTCTATGCGAGTGTACCGTAAGGTGAACTGAGTTGAGGTGTCTGGCATTCAAAAATGAATCACTCATTCTATGTAGCCGCTCCCCTTACTCCGGTCCATGCTCCTCGACTGTACTCCGTCCTCGCACTCGCACACTACGAACCGACGTCGCTGCTTGTGTGAATTTTGTCAAAGGATTCGGCCTAGGTCCGTTGCTTCCGGGAGAACCTGGATTCTACATTGCGGCTGAGCCAAGTTGCTCCTCCCCGCTCGCCGTGCGCGCCACCGGGTACAAGTGCGAGCGTATGCGGAGCAGGGACACACTCTCACACTCGCGCGCAGCGTACAGTACGCGCGCTGGTACAGAAACGAAGGTCGACATGATGCGGTGCAAGGTTTGACCAGCTCGAGAGGGGAGAAAGCAAGACGCCACGTCGCACCCACTTGTCCTGCCAGCCACATTCCACAGCAGTCTGAGCGGTGGCTCTCTCGCAGTCTCTCCTCGCACTCGCTCCAAGCGCCACCGACCTACTAATGGTCCGAACTGTACAGTGATCCGTCCAGCCCTAAAACAAGAGTGGCCATTCATTCTGTCACCGGCCCTAGTGTACAGTACCGTGCTTAGCTTCGACTGTTTTCGTACATGGGCGAATGTGGGAACGGCTCATCCGAGGAAGGCTCGCGTAGCGGCGACGGCGAATCGCAAGGAAACGCGTGGTGTCCGCGATGCATCGCGCTCTGAATGATTGCTCAAAGCGAGGTTGGTCCATTCACACTGTGGTGCGTGGTGGTTTTGAAGCGAGATTCGACACTCCGAGCAGGAGTCGCCACGCCAACGAAGGAGGCTCCGTAATGTATACAACTTGGTGGGGGAGGAACTGGGGGGATGGGTAGAAGGGGAGGTGGGGTTGGGGGCATTGGGTCCGTGGGTGCATGCACCTGGTCAGTTCATAATGGTGGAGACGTACCCGTTACAGTTATGGCTTCACTCAGCGGTCCACTATACTATCTGAAACGTGTGAACAGAACAGAATGACTGTTTCCTAGTTGGCCAAGTACAGCTGAAATTCAAGGTGCATCAATTTTCACCAATCAGCAATGTACCGATCAATTCAAGGCGCAACAAAACTGAACAGCAAGATAAATTAACTGATTGTACTGTATGGCTTCTGAAAACAATTGACACAACGGAACAAGTCAACCGCTTGAAGCTCTTTGGTATTTTTCTACACTGCATTCTCCCACAAGCAGTTGTATACAACCACAAAGCTCTTTGGTATGTTTAACATAGATTAGCTAACAGCACGCCGGAAGAAACACTGATAGTAGAAACTCAAGCGTGGATTGGCACAGCCACTTTCATATTATCCAAAGAGCAGTGCCCAGGCACGCTGCATGAAAAGAGAATGGATGTGCCCTTGGCTGAAGCTGGCACCTTGTATCTGACACACATTCAAACGATTGGTGGGGGGGCAAGAAATGGGTGATGAAGAAACGACTGCGTAAGAGGATGGTAACAATCTGCTGAGCTATTTGGGAACAAAAAATATGTACAGTGGGAGACCTTGGCAGATAACCGTGTGGACTGCGGTGACAGCCGTAAAGGGATCACAGCCACCAGCAAGGCAGTCCAGCAACAGGAAGCCACAACCACCAATACAGATTCATCAAAACGCGTCGCACACTCGCATGTAATTCCCCGCCCCGTAAGTCCGTCTCCTCACCAGCAAACCCAAAACCGCAAGCATCATGCGCATCTACAAACACAAACACAAGTCGCACTAATGTCCACTTCCTAACGCTGTGATGCCGGTCATCATAGTAGCAGCCCCAAAGCTGCAAGTACCGGTACCAAGCATAATTAAGCTGCAATGCCGCAACTCAGAACGCTCTTTGCGCACTCACTTGTACTTCCCGGCGCTGGTGATGCCGGTCTTCTTAGTGGCCTCACCGAAGTTGCAGTTGTTGTACGCATCCAGGGAGTTCATGATCCACACGTCATGGGGGACGCCCGTCCACTTGAACACTGCACGAAGTGGCAGGGAAGCACAAGCGAGTGAGGCCAGTAGGATGAGGCCAATGGGTGTGGCAACACCAAGGTCACATGCATTGTACGCGTCCATGGAGTTCATGATCCACTCGTCATGGGGGACGCCCGTCCACTTGAACACTGCACGAAGTGGCAGGGAAGCACAAGCGAGTGAGGCCAGTAGGATGAGGCCAATGGGTGTGGCAACACCAAGGTCACATGCATTGTACGCGTCCATGGAGTTCATGATCCACTCGTCATGTGGCGCGCTCCTCCACACACACTGCATCAATGGGATGGGCGGACGGTGGCAGCGACGCAGAAGCAAGTGAGGCCAGTGGGGTGAGACAAGTGGGATGAGGCGAGTGGGATGATGCGAGTGGAATACGACAGACCAATATGAGCAATGTAGAGGGTTGAGTACTCATGTCAGAGCTAGAGAATGCGCACAGGATCACAGCGGAAGGAGAAAAAACCGCGGAACCGAAATAAGTCTGCTTTTCTTGATTATAACATCCCCTTGCATTGACCATTGTCAAGGAGTGGTCGTGTGAGTATCATGAGTACATGAAGGCAAGGGGAACCGAGAGTGTCCCCTGCGTGTATCGAGAGTGGCCCCCTTGGGCTTCCACTTCTTCACGCCGAGTCCCCACGGACTGACTTTTGAGTCTGACTTGGGCTTCCACTATGAAAGCCACCTAGCTTACCGAGAGTGTCCCCCGCGTGAATGATGCCCTTTGGCTTCCACTTCTTCACTCCAAATCCCCACGGGCTCAGCCCACTGCCTCCCACTGTGAACACCTTGGCCTGTTGGGCAAGGCGATGGCAGAAGGGAAGAGAGTGAAAGACATGAGAGGAAGACAGACACTCAAAGAGGCCAGGAAACAATGAGATAAAGAGTGGCAGAGAGGCAGACGGGTGGCGTTGGGATGTGCGGAGAGGGTAAGGCGAAGAGGACGACCGCAGGGACTTGAGAATAAAGGACGGGCTACGGAAGAAGGGGGGCAAGTGGCAGGAGGGCAAGAGAGCATGAGCACGAGGCAGGAGAGGGGTAATGGGGCAAGAGAGCAGTACCTCTGACTGGATTGCGCCTGCCACCAGGAATATGGAGAGGGGTAATGGGGGGAAGCAGCGCGGGGAGAGAGAAAAAAGTCACGGGAAGGGGAAAAGCTGGGGGGATGAGCGTGCAATGGAAACAAAGGCTTTCATGATCGAGATGATGGAGAAGAAGCGCAGACGAAGGAGAGCAGCAAAGCAACAGTGCATGAGAGCAGCAGAGCACAGTGCATGAGAGCAGCAGAGCACAGTGCATGAGAGCAGCAGAGCACAGTGCATGAGAGCAGCAGAGCACAGTGCATGAGAGCAGCAGAGCACAGTGCATGAGAGCAGCAGAGCATAGTGCATGAGAGCAGCAGAGCACAGTGCATGAGAGCAGCAGAGGACAGTGCATGAGAGCAGCAGAGCACAGTGCATGAGAGCAGCAGAGCACAGTGCATGAGAGCAGCAGAGGACAGTGCATGAGAGCAGCAGAGCACAGTGCATGAGAGCAGCAGAGCACAGTGCATGAGAGCAGCAGAGCACAGTGCATGAGAGCAGCAGAGCACAGTGCATGAGAGCAGCAGAGCACAGTGCATGAGAGCAGCAGAGCACAGTGCATGAGAGCAGCAGAGCACAGAGCATGAGAGCAGCAAAGCACAGTGCATGAGAGCAGCAGAGCACAGTGCATGAGAGCAGCAGAGCACAGTGCATGAGAGCAGCAGAGCACAGTGCATGAGAGCAGCAGAGCACAGTGCATGAGAGCAGCAGAGCACAGTGCATGAGAGCAGCAGAGCACAGTGCATGAGAGCAGCAGAGCACAGTGCATGAGAGCAGCAGAGCACAGTGCATGAGAGCAGCAGAGCACAGTGCATGAGAGCAGCAGAGCATAGTGCATGAGAGCAGCAGAGCACAGTGCATGAGAGCAGCAGAGGACAGTGCATGAGAGCAGCAGAGCACAGTGCATGAGAGCAGCAGAGCACAGTGCATGAGAGCAGCAGAGGACAGTGCATGAGAGCAGCAGAGCACAGTGCATGAGAGCAGCAGAGCACAGTGCATGAGAGCAGCAGAGCACAGTGCATGAGAGCAGCAGAGCACAGTGCATGAGAGCAGCAGAGCACAGTGCATGAGAGCAGCAGAGCACAGTGCATGAGAGCAGCAGAGCACAGAGCATGAGAGCAGCAAAGCACAGTGCATGAGAGCAGCAGAGCACAGTGCATGAGAGCAGCAGAGCACAGTGCATGAGAGCAGCAGAGCACAGTGCATGAGAGCAGCAGAGCACAGTGCATGAGAGCAGCAGAGCACAGTGCATGAGAGCAGCAGAGCACAGTGCATGAGAGCAGCAGAGCACAGTGCATGAGAGCAGCAGAGCACAGTGCATGAGAGCAGCAGAGCACAGTGCATGAGAGCAGCAGAGCACAGTGCATGAGAGCAGCAGAGCACAGTGCATGAGAGCAGCAGAGCACAGTGCATGAGAGCAGCCAGAGCACAGTGCATGAGAGCAGCAGAGCACAGTGCATGAGAGCAGCAGTGGACAGTGCATGAGAGCAGCAGAGCACAGTGCATGAGAGCAGCAGAGGACAGTGCATGAGAGCAGCAGAGGACAGTGCATGAGAGCAGCAGAGCACAGTGCATGAGAGCAGCAGAGCACAGTGCATGAGAGCAGCAGAGCACAGTGCATGAGAGCAGCAGAGCACAGTGCATGAGAGCAGCAGAGCACAGTGCATGAGAGCAGCAGAGCACAGTGCATGAGAGCAGCAGAGCACAGTGCATGAGAGCAGCAGAGCACAGTGCATGAGAGCAGCAGAGCACAGTGCATGAGAGCAGCAGAGCACAGTGCATGAGAGCAGCCAGAGCACAGTGCATGAGAGCAGCAGAGCACAGTGCATGAGAGCAGCAGAGCACAGTGCATGAGAGCAGCAGAGCACAGTGCATGAGAGCAGCCAGAGCACAGTGCATGAGAGCAGCAGAGCACAGTGCATGAGAGCAGCAGAGCACAGTGCATGAGAGCAGCAGAGCACAGTGCATGAGAGCAGCAGAGCACAGTGCATGAGAGCAGCAGAGCACAGTGCATGAGAGCAGCAGAGCACAGTGCATGAGAGCAGCAGAGCACAGTGCATGAGAGCAGCAGAGCAGGAGGGCAGGGTGTCAGAACAGACTGGCAGAGACTTTCCAAGAAACAAAGAAAGCCAGGATGCACGCTCACAGCTGAGAGAAACCGAAGCAAGCGGCAAAAACCAAATCTAAGCGTGAGGAATAACGACGCAGAGTCACGCGGCGGAGAAAGGGAGCAACGTGACACGAAACGACTTGAGTGAGTTTTTCTGTCGTCCTTTCGCCCTTGGGTGAAAGAACTCCCAGGTTCCTGAGAGTCGGGGGCGAAATGGGGGATTAGCGCGTACAAAGCAGCACGACGAGCGCTGTGGCCGTGAGGGCAATCGCGGCAAGCAAGCGAGCCATGGCGGCGACGAAATGGCGCGCGACACGGGAGCACCTTCTCTTGAATAATCGAGTCGCCTCGACGACTACGAGATGGTGTAGGGGAGTCGTACTCGGAGTCACTTTTGAGAATTTCTCCAGAATCGTACTCGGAGTCGCGTTAAGTTGGGACCAGCCGCACGAGAGACAGAGATCTCGGCTGGGGGGTCAAATAAACTTTATTTGAAGGCCAAGTGGGGAATGAGGAGTCGGCGAGGAGACCCGAGGATTACTAAGAAAAAAGAAGCTGGTTGTGTCCAAGAATGAGTCTAGCTTGTTATCTCTACTAGGTTGAGAGTGGTTCTTGCTCGAGTCGTTTATCTGTCCCAGCGGCCAAAAAGGTTCCGCTGTGGTCGACTCCTTTTACATCTTCACTGCCCTTCGCCGAGTCCCATGTCGACTCGGACCCCCCCTTCCCCCCACCCCCCTCTCCCCGTCCTCCCCGTCCTCCCCGTCCTCCCCATCCAGAGTTCCCCGCGTTCCCCACGCTTCACGCTCCAATGAATGTTCAGAAATACATTTCCCCCTCCCAACCCCATGCCCTTCCCCCCCCAACCTCTTCCTCCCCATCCCCCGCCCCCCGCATCTTTTCCTGCCAGCCACCCTTTTTGCCTCGGAGATGTCAGGAGAGATCGTGGAAAGAGGTGGTTGCACCTGGCTGCCGCCAATTACGTTATGGTGGCCTCGCCACAACTGTACAGTACTGTACTGTGCTATTGCCCCATCGCGCAACTGACTGGCGAAAGACCCCCACCCCAACCGTGCGAACGAGCGGCAAAACCCGAGATTGAGAATTCTTACGGCTAGAATCGAACGGCAAAGTGATGATAGGCAGCAGCCGAGAAGAACAAGCGAGTCATCATTGGACGCTTGGCAAACGGAGAGTGACGAAGGCACTCCACCGACAAATAGGTTAAGAAGTCAGATAGCCTATCAGAGAAGCTCCCATGGTCGGTGCGTTACATGCCTAGTCTGTTTGTGGCAGCTCCGTTACTGTCTGTGTGAGGCGGTGTACACTTCCTGATTTCCTTTCATCGCTACCCTTCATAGCACTCCACGTCCATAGACCATGCCCACTCCATTGTCTCTCTTCAATCAATAACAAAAAGAACATAAAATAATCCACCTTTGTTTTTTTGTGCATAACTTGAAGTTTGGCATGATCCAGGAAGTTCGTGTGAGCCTATGGTGCTGATATAACTGAAGATCGAAGTGGATAGGATAAAGATGTTAAGTTGTTGGAAAGACAATGAAGTCTTTAGAATGACCTTGTTAATAATAGTTGAAGGAGAACAAGATGATTAAGATAGAATTACAAGGGAAATAAATAGGTCCATAGCTAGCCATGTACTCTGAGGAGTACATTCCCTTATTGCAACTGTATTGCATAACTACAGTAACTGTGACTATTGCCGTTCTTTGCAGTTACCTGGTTGCATTGCGTAACCTCTCGTAACCTCTGATGCGGTTGTCGGTTGGTCAACAGTCACGGCTTTTGACTTTGGTGACTGTTGACCTTCGGGTGGCTCTTGAGCTGCTGAGTGCTTTGTACGAGCATGTAGCGATACTGGTGTAGTAGCTTGCTTCGTTATGAGATGATGCTCTAGGAGAGAACCTTTAGGACTGCATGTGTACATTGTTTGCATGCCATGGCAGGGTGTCAAGTCTTCAGAAGCATTCGTTAACAAGACAACATATGAATGCACTGGAAACAACAAACAATCAGGATATGGTACAACCAATCTCTTTACTAATCAGACCCTTGTGATGGAGCTGACAGTTGACTCCCTACAGCGAAAGCAATTGCTTCATCAAAAGAACGGGTCGGATGTTCAACACTATGAATAATCAAATCAACCGCATTTGGCTCCGTCCTATCTCCCCCAAATACACTCTCTTGTATGCCCAGAAGCTCCGAGACCACTTGGTCCATGCGCGGCCGATGGGATGTGGGCATGGCTGTACAGCGCAGTGCCAGCTGCCCCAGCTGAAGGAGCACGTCAGAAGGAGCATCTAGCGCGGGGTCCCTGAAGCCCTCTGCATCCCCACAGGCCACCAGTGGCTCGACCTGAAGGACGATGGAGGTTCAGCGAACAAGAAGCAGTGGGCAAGGAGCGTGCGGGGAGGAGCATGTGAAGCAGAGGGTAAGGAGCATGTGAAGCAGAGGGTAAGGAGCATGTGAACCAGAGGGCAAGGAGCATGTAAAGCAGAGGGCAAGGAGCATGTGAAGCAGAGGGCAAGGAGCATGTGAAGCAGAGGGCAAGGAGCATGTGAAGCAGAGGGCAAGGAGCATGTGAAGCAGAGGGTAAGGAGCATGTGAAGCAGAGGGCAAGGAGCATGTGAAGCAGAGGGCAAGGAGCATGTGAAGCAGAGGGTAAGGAGCATGTGAAGCAGAGGGTAAGGAGCATGTGAAGCAGAGGGCAAGGAGCATGTAAAGCAGAGGGCAAGGAGCATGTGAAGCAGAGGGCAAGGAGCATGTGAAGCAGAGGGTAAGGAGCATGTGAAGCAGAGGGCAAGGAGCATGTGAAGCAGAGGGTAAGGAGCATGTGAAGCAGAGGGCAAGGAGCATGTGAAGCAGAGGGCAAGGAGCATGTGAAGCAGAGGGTAAGGAGCATGTGAAGCAGAGGGTAAGGAGCATGTGAACCAGAGGGCAAGGAGCATGTGAAGCAGAGGGCAAGGAGCATGTGAAGCAGAGGGCAAGGAGCATGTGAAGCAGAGGGCAAGGAGCATGTGAAGCAGAGGGCAAGGAGCATGTGAAGCAGAGGGTAAGGAGCATGTGAAGCAGAGGGCAAGGAGCATGTGAAGCAGAGGGTAAGGAGTGTGAGGGGGAGGGCACAGCGTGGTGGGATGTGGGCTAGATGGCACGAGCTAATGGAGGCAACACAAGCGCATGAGCTGTAGAATGAGACATGGGGGAGGAGGGGGGCGTTGAGGGGGGTGCAGGGAACATGAGGGAGTTTAATACCCGAAGTGGTTTACTATAAATGGCGGACAAAGTAAAGGAAAAAAAAAAAAAAATCGGCCTCACCCATTTTCGGATGTGGACGTTTTGGTCCCCGATCTTCTGCAACGCTCGCTGCGCCGTGAGCAGCTCCAGCATGACCACACCGTAGCTGCACAGCACAGGGGCATTGCAACAATGGGATGGGACCTTCTTTTGAGCTGGCTCAAGTCGCACGCCACAATCCAGCATTGCTACGCTACGCCGTGGCTGTAAAGGGGAATGATGGAACGGCAGGATCAATAAAGCACAAGACACAGCTCCACCCACACCTTGAGGGGTGATGCCATGCCATGCCATTCCATGCCATGCCATTCCATGCCATGCCATGCCATTCCATGCCATGCCATGCCATTCCATGCCATGCCATGCCATTCCATGCCATGCCATGCCATTCCATGCCATGCCATGCCATGCCATGCCATTCCATGCCATGCCATGCCATGCCATGCCAGGCCATGCCAGTCCATTCCATTATATTCCATGCAATTCCATTCTATTCCATTCTATTCAATTTCATTCCACTCCACTCCATGCCATCCCATGCCATTCCATGCCATCCCATGCCATTCCATGCCATCCCATGTCATGTCATGTCATCCCATGCCACTCCATGCCATCCCATGCCACTCCATGCCAACCCATGCCACCCCATGCCACCCCATGCCACCCCATGTCACCCCATGCCACCCCATGCCACCCCATGCCACCCCATGCCACCCCATGTCACCCCATGCCACCCCATGCCACCCCATGCCACCCCATGTCACACCATGCTACCCCATGTCAGGCAATCCCATGCCATGCCGTGCCGTGCCGTGCCATGCCATGCCATGCCATGCCATCCCATCCCATCTCATCCCATCCCATCCCATCCCATCCCATCTCATCCCATCCCATCCCATCCCATCCCATCCCATCCCATCCCATCCCATCCCATCCCATCCCATCCCATCCCATCCCATCCCATCCCATCCCATCCCATCCCATCCCATCCCATCCCATCCCTATCCCATCCCATCCCATCCCATCCCATCCCATCCCATCCCATCCCATCCCATCCCATCCCATCCCATCCCATCCCATCCCATCCCATCCCATCCCATCCCATCCCTATCCCATCCCATCCCATCCCTTCCCATCCCATCCCATCCCATCCCATCCCATCCCATCCCATCCCATCCCATCCCATCCCATCCCATCCCATCCCATCCCATCCCATGCCATCCCATGCCATCCCATGCCATGCCATGCCATGCCATCCCATGCCATGCCATGCCATCCCATGCCATGCCATGCCATCCCATGTCATGTCATGTCATCCCATGCCACTCCATGCCACCCCATGCCACCCCATGCCACCCCATGCCACCCCATGCCACCCCATGCCACCCCATGCCACACCATGCCACCCCATGTCAGGCAATCCCATGCCATGCCCTGCCATGCCATGCCATGCCATGCCATGCCATCCCATCCCATCCCATCCCATCCCATCCCATCCCATCCCATCCCATCCCATCCCATCCCATCCATCCCATCCCATCCCATCCCATCCCATGCCATGCCATGCCATCCCATCCCATCCCATCCCATCCCTTCCCATCCCATCCCATCCCATCCCATCCCATCCCATCCCATTCCATCCCATCCCATCCCATCCCATCCCATCCCATCCCATCCCATCCCATCCCATCCCATCCCATCCCATCCCATCCCATCCCATCCCATCCCATCCCATCCCATCCCATCCCATCCCATCCCATGCCATCCCATCCCATCCCATGCCATCCCATGCCATCCCATGCCATCCCATGCCATCCCATGCCATGCCATGCCATGCCATGCCATGCCACGCGATGCCGGCCTATGCCACTGGCATGCAATTCGTCTCCAACACCATTCTATGTGGCGCCAGAGATTGCACCACATACCCACCCATGCAGTGACCTCTGTGATAATCTGCCAACAGGGCGATGACGACCGCAAACACCTAAACCCCAACCTCCCCCCCTCTTGTTTCCCCCTTATCCCCCCTCCCTAGCACGCAACGTGTGCTGCTTCGTGCACCCACCTGCCCACCTGCCCACCTGCACAGCCTTCTAGCCTGCCCTGCATACCGCACCTGTACACGTCAGCAGCGGCGGTGGCCTTGCGGGACTTGGAGTAAGCAGGGTCCATGTAGCCTGGGGTGCCCATGATGCGAGTCGTGTCTCCGGTCAAGCTCTCGTCCCCCATGCGCGCTATCCCAAAGTCTGCGATCTTGGCCTGGTGGTGGGGATATGCCGGGCGAGAGGCAAAAGAGGGGAGTTGTCATGCTCACAAGTGAGAAATCTTTTAAGCATTCTTAGAAGCTTGCTCACCTGCACTAATTAGGATTTGGTTTAGTGAAAAAGCAGTTGTGCACACAGAAGCAGTAGTAGGGTGTTCATAAAACATTTCAACCTCACCCAAACCTCATCACCTACTAACCAGTTCCATTGGGAACTGTCCCCAAATCCGTCCTGGTCTGTTCTGTTCCAACCGATTTTGACATAAATAAATATGGTATTGGAGCCAAAGGTCTCCAGTTCAGCTCCCAAAATAAGTACAGACAAAGAGTGCAGTAATGTAGGACGCCCCTAGTCAACAGGGGTGCCCGAAAAAACGGTACCCAGTAGTTTTTTTTTTTTTTTTTGGTGGACATAAGTACACTACACGCATACATACATCCGCAGTCGTAACTGTTGCTAGGAGGGCATGAAAGGTCACAAGTAACCTAACCCCCCTTGTCCATTTACGGAGGCCGGAAAGCTGCCCCACCGTCTTCCCAGATCGCTTTGAAGCCCGCTCTCCATGTCATCGAAGCCTCAGTCTCGTAAAGCCTGCGCATAACGCTTGCCTCGTCAGCACTCAGGTGGCCCCAGTCACCCGCCCTTCCTGAGCCACTTCTGCCAGCCGATCTCTTCCGCACTCTACTGTAGATCTTCACGTGACGTGTAAAACTGACTGCTATGCGCCTCAGTGCCTTTTTTGGCTGAAACCGACTGCCTCGGAACACCGCATTGCACCTCTCCAGCCACACCTGGTGCGCTGTAATGGAAATGATTGCAGCTTCCGGAAAGCCGGATGACGTGCCATGCTTTTGGAAGAGCATGTCGCCGAGAGACCTCATTTCCCTGCCCGGGTTCATGCACTGCACCGCATTTCTCATCACCTCCACCACCGGTTGAACCACCGGGCAGCTGAAAAGGCAGTGGTCCTGAGATTCCACCCCGCCACAGTGCGTACATTTCGCCCTCGCGCCCAGGAAAGGGAGCCTCTCCCCTACTTGAAGGTTGTTACTGTGCACCCTCAGCATCACCTCTCGTGCCCTGCATGGGGTTGCCAGCGAGTCACGGACCGTGATGGCCTTCCCCCAGTCGATCTTCCTCCCCAACTCCTCTTCCCACTTCAGCTGTTGCTTCGGCTGCGCCTCTGAGGGTTTCATCGCTTTCCTCAGCTGCTTTAGATCAGCCCGCTCGCCTTTCTCGCAGACAGGGGAATAGAGCAGGCGCGTTCTCGGGGTACCCAGCAGACCTCGAGCCCTCCCGTCGATGACGGCCATAGGAGCAGCGCGCCGAAACTCCACCCTCACCACGCTGGCGTATTCCACTTCCGAAATATACCCTTTCTTGTCGATGGTCACCCTCTTTCCATACAGTTCACCCTCTCTGACATGTTGTAGTTGGTAGTAAAGGAACTCCCCCGGCCGGTAAGACGCGGAGCGAACAAGCCTTGTTTCTCTGAAGATTTCCTCCGCCGACAGTTGATTGAGTACCAAATCTTTCCACCCCTGCGGTGCTGCTTCCCACGCTTTTAAGGCCCACTTCCTTTGTTCCTCTCCTCCTAACTCCCGCTCCAGGACCTCTTCGTTTTTGCGAGACCTGCTGCCGTCCCCTCCCTTAACCACCAGGTCCCCCAGCCGGATGCCCTTCAGACAGTGGGAGCCCGCCTGGTTCCCAAATGGTGATCTGCCTCTGAAAAAGATTTTGCGGTTGAAAAGTAGCTGCTCCTCCTCTGCATCCCATCTGTGGGCCGGGTCACCTATCTCCACAATTTTTGAGTCCCACAGCGCCTTCACCGCTGCCTTCCACCTCATACCCCCCCCCAGCCAATGTTTCAGGATCGAGGGGTGCGCATATATCGTGGCCAAGCCCAGTGGGAAAGCTGCCGCTCTCTCCCATAGCCAGTTTCGGAGTGGATCTTGCTCCACCAGAGCCTTCCCCAAGCCTTGGATCACCATGCTGTCGATTCGATGTCTCAGATCGATCACTCCCAGCCCGCCTTCCTTCCGTCCCTTGCACGACAACTCGTAACTCCAGAGAGTGAAATGCCTGTCCAACAGCGCTTTGCCGCCCGAGATGAAATTGTGGCACAGCCGCTTCACCTTGGTCCAGACTTCATATGGTGGGGCGTAAATCTGGGCCTGAAAAAGCAGAATCGGCATCGCGTAGCAGTTTATGATTGTGACCCTCGCCGATGTCTTGAGGTGCTTTGTCTCCCAGCAGCTCAGCACCGCACTAACTTTCTCAAAGGCTTTGTCCCATTTAGGTCCCGGCAAGCCCCCCGAGGTGATCCAGATTCCAAGCAGCCGCTCCGACTTGTCCTTGTCTGCCCATTTGAAAGGCGAGGCAATCGGCTGAAGCCTCCTCAGGTTCTTCCCCAGCGGCATCAAAGTTGTCTTGTCGCGATTCACCCTCAACCCCGAGACCTCCGCAAATTCCCCAAGCAGTTTCCCTGCTGCCTCCACTTGCTCCTTCCCTTTCAGAACCAATGTCGTATCATCCGCATACCCAATGTAGGCCAAATCCCCTTTAATCCCTCTCTTTTTTACACCCAGCTTCCTGCGCTCAATTTCTTGGCAGAGCGGCTCAACCGCACAGAGGAAAAGGTACGGGGCGAGTGGGCAGCCCTGACGCACTCCCTTGGCCATCTCCACCCGCTCCCCTATCCAGCCATTCAACAGCATCCTAGTCGCCGCCCCATCATGCAGACCCTTCACCCATCCCATGAACTTCGTTGGGAAACCCATGTTGCCCAGTGTCCTGAACAGGTACTCTCGTGACACCGAATCATAAGCCTTCTGAAAGTCAACCAGCAAAAGCAGCCAGTCCTCGTCCTCCTGCTCCGCTGCATCGATCGCGTCCGCCACCAGTGAGACAGCGTCGGCAAGGCTCCGTCCCGGGAGAAAGCCGAACTGATTGGGTGAGATTACCTTGGGTAAAACCACCTTGATACGGTTCGCCAACACCTTCGCCAGCAGTTTGTAGAAGAAACTCAGTAGCGTGATCGGACGATAGTTGCCTAAATCATCTCTGCTTCCTTTTTTGTGCAGGAGAATCGTGACCGCCGTCGTGAAAGTCTCCGAAAGCGTCCCCGTCCCCTCGAAATCCCTGACTTCCTTCATCACCTCCGGGCCCAGCAACCCCCAGTTCCGCTCGAAAAACTCCTTCGGCAGACCATCCTGCCCCGGTGCCTTCCCTGCCGGTAAGCCTTTAAGTGCCGCCAGCACCTCCTTCTCACACCATTCCTCGTCTAACTGTGCGCGATCTGCATCTTGCAGTTTCCTGCTTTCTTCAATCGGCCACTGCTCCACGAGGGAAGAAGACGGCGCCGAAGCATACGCCTCGCGAAAGTGCTCCGATGCCGCTTGCAACACCTCGCTTGCTCCCTTCCTCGACACCCCTTTGTAGGTGATCTCCGTAATCTCCGTTTTCGCCTTTCTTGACTTAACGAGGCCCGACAGGAAGCCTGATGGTGTTTCCCCCGCCAGTTCTTGCAGTAACCCTGACAGGACCTGCAGCCGCTCCTTGTTGCTGTCCTGGTAGAGCTTGAGGGCCGCCTCATTTTTAACCAACTCCTCATACAGAGTCTGCGAGGAGGGGTCCGCCATCACTTTCCACCGAAGCTCCTCTACCTTCTTTTCCAGGTGCACCATAGTCGCTTTAACCCTCTTTCTCTCCTCCGCTACATGAGCTCTCATGCATGCGCGCAGGCTTGACACCAGCCTCTCCAAGCCCTGCTCCGGTCTACACGCCTGAGCTTCCACCACCGCCGATATGATATTCCTGACACCTTCGCCCCCCACCTGAGGCGCCTGAAGCCTCCACAGCCCCGGTCCGTGATCATCAGCTGACGCCGACTTAAGCGACACCAACACTGCGAACCAGTGATCGGTCAAACCGTATGGTACCATCTTGTGCTTCGCCTCCGTCACGCAGTCGAGTAGTGAGTGTGAAACTAATGCTCTGTCAATCCGTGTGCTCGACTTTGTAGATCTGGAGAAGAAAGTGTATTCCTTCCTGGTCGGGTGGAGGCTCCGGAAAGCATCTTGCAGGTCCCACCTCGAGCAAATGTGCAGGAGCCTTTGATATTCTGCCGGAGTTCCAAGCTTTGAAGACTTATCGAGCTCCGGGTCCGCTACAATGTTCAGGTCACCAAGGAGAATGGTGTGCGGAGAGGCACTTAAGCCCTGCACGAACGGCGTCAGTACCTCCCGGAAGAAAACCCCCCGAATAGGTGCCTGCGCGGGTAAGTACGCAGCCACCACCCTGCACCGCAAATCACGCCATGTGATCATTAGACTCAGAAGCCTACCAGACTCATGCTTAACCACCTCCGTGAAACGCATCCCTGGCAGGAATCCCAAAACGGCCAGACCCCCAGCCCTCTGAGACGGCCCAACCACCGCCTAAGCCTCAGATCTAACTTGTGTCCAGAAATTATGATCGGCCGGAATCCTTGTATCGGTGAGTACCACAATGTTTGCAGCTTTCCTTATCCATTTTCCGCATCGTTCTTGCTTCCCATTGCTACCGAGCCCGTTGATGTTGAGCTCGAGGAGTGTAAGGTTGTTGCATTTATCCATTAATCCACTGCTCAGAGCCCCACAGCATCCACGGGCGGTTAAGCTTTATTGCGACAATACAGCCGGCTACAGCAAAGGAGAACATGGCACCAACAACACACCCCGCTCCCACAATCCAGCACGACGTCTCATCCAGGTCCATCCAGGTGCCATTTCCCGAGCCACTGATCATTTCTCTGCAGGTTTGATGATGAAATCCTTCTTGAAAGCAGCTATCTTCTGAGCCTGCTTGCTGGCACGCGTTGCAGCGCCGTCTTTCCGCAGCCCCCCTTTGTGTCTGGCAGACGCTACATGAGCCGCCGCCTGCTCGAACCGGTTCCCCTGTGCCTTCTCGCACACGGTCTGCACGCACACCCACTCCTCCCTCAAACCTCCTGTGGAGGTGAGTACCACAGCGGGGTCCTTCAGGATACGCTTCATCTGAGCTGAAGCTTTCAGGGATGCAGCTGCGAGAAGAGGTGGGGAAGCAGCCGTCAGTAAGGGTCAGGAAGCGCGATTCAAGCGGTAAGGAAAGCGATGGTACAAGGAGGTGAACAGAGCGCCGTATACTGTTCATCTCATGAACCTTTTTGACCGTCAGGTTCCAGTTGGTGAAGTTTTCCTGTCTCGTGGTAACATAACGATCATGGTAATGAGCCAGATGAGGGCCGTTGCACAGCTCGCAGGTGAGTGACGGGAAGTGCAGCAGATAACGTTTCCCTGTCGATGGGTCTTCCACGAAATACCTCCAGCGGTATTCATCGGCAGCGTGAGGAACAAGCAAACCACGAACACGGTCAGTATCCAATCCTGTGACAGGATCAAGCGTACGGTGAAAGCCAAAGCCGCTGGCGAAGGCGCTTCTGCCACGCTTCACTAACTTGGCCACCACCAGTAAGTGACGGATGAGCTCAGCAGTAATCTCAGCCGGAACGCCCTTGACCACCACCTCCTTCGCCGACGGGTTCAAAACGCGTTCACGAAGAAAACGCGCATCTTCCGGGAACTGCCAGGTGAGGTCGATGATGTCACCATTCACGCATTCATGACGGATGACTTGATTCCAGATGTAGTTCGCATCATTGACATGATTAAAAGTGACCTGGAGACGACCATAACGCGTCCCCGAAAAATACATCGCCGGAAGCTCCTGGTAAGTCGTCGTCTGCAGCACATCAGGAGACAACTGATCCGTGTAATCATCCAACAGAGCCGCAACTGTAACAGCAGCGCGCTTTACTTCAGCTTTCCTGAAGATCGGCACCAGCAAGGTTAGTGGAAAGCGTTTCAAAGCAATGACACTACTGAGCGAGTCAGGTTCCAAGTGCTCGTCGGAGTCGTCACTCAAATAGCCATCATCTTCATCGACAGGAGCCGGGTCGGCAGAATCTTCTTCTTCGACATTCGCAGCCGCGTCAGTATCAGTCTGGTCACCATCAGGTACTTGTTCTTTATTATCTTCATTCTCTTCATCAGCACCATCAGCATCGCCGTCGGCGGTCTCCGCGGCATCATCAGGTTTGTTCTGCAGGTCTGACATGTCATCGAAAGGGCCGATCACCACGGGAGGCGTTGCTGGCGAAGCGCGACCTTTGGCTGCAGCATCAGCCTCCGGTACGTCAGGTACGGGGACCATCGTCTCCTTATCCTGAGCAGTCTTCCTTCCAGGCTTGTTGCTGCGTCCTTTCACCATTGTGCGATGATGAGATATGCTTGGCAGCCCAAGGACGGCCGCATAACAAGCTGATCTGAGCACCGTAAACACTGACACTTTATGCCATCTGTGCTTGAAGGCAAAACGCTGCAGGTCCAGACCCGAGGAGTCGCCAACATCCTTAGGGAACATTGTGTAGCACGGGTGACAGGATTCCTTGAGATTCGTTGAACCATGGGGTAGATAGCCATTGGTTTTGACGCGAGCCTGATGCAGAGGTACTTGATTGAAACGACGATCCCCATGGAGGAGCCATTGGTGTTTGCCCTGCGTAGAGCCCTTAGTTGACAATGAATCATGCACTGACGAGTGCCTGGAACTTTGATAAATGATGTTTAGGTTCCCGTAATGAACACTAAAGGAACACCATTGTAAAGAGCACGTGGCTGCGCATCGTCCAAAGGCTTTAATGTCAGCATCAGGAAAGAAATTGTTACACATTGGGCGAGTTAAAGCTCTCCGCCATGGCCATGAAGGTAAGGTCATTGTCATTGTCATTCGTTTTTTCCTTTGGTACCCAGTAGTGCCAGTATGATAAACAGAGTAGGGCATTAGGGAGTGAGGCCTGACAGTTTGCGAATAAAGCAGCATACCAATTCTGTTCATTGAGCATATAGCGGTCCAGTAGGATGCTGGCTGGTTGAATTTTCAGTCGACAATAAAAACAAGTTGACGACTGAGTCGACTCAAAACCGAGTTGACTTGTGAGTCGACTCAAAACCGAGTTGACTTGTGAGTCGAGTCAAAACCGAGTTGACTTGTGAGTCGAGTCAAAACAGAGTTGACTTGTGAGTCGAGTCAAAAACCAATACTGCTGAGGGAGCAGAGAAGATTGTTATGAGTGGAGTTGCGTATTCAACAAACCCGCTCACCGTCATGTGGCGGTCCAGTAGGACGTTGGCTGGCTTGATGTCGCGATGCACGATGCCAAAGCTGTGCAGGTAGTGCAGCCCTCGAGCCATGTCCACCAGCACACTCAGACGCTGCTTCAGAGAGAGAGGAGGGGTGCCCGAGTCTGCAAAGAGGGGGTTGAAGGAGCAGCAGGGAAGGGAACACACGGAGAAGCGGCAGGAGAGCAATCAAAGGGAAGGCAAGAGGCAGGGCGTGTTGGCAGAAACCGATTTTTGCGCAAGAAATCGGCTGGTCAAGCGAGAACATTTCGTAGGGGACACTTATTTTACCATTTGAATTTGTGAGACACATGGCACAGTAAATCCCAACAGACAGTGAGTGAGGAAGTAATGTAACGGTGAAGTTCTCCCACACCACATTCGTGACCCCTCACCTTCGTGAGCATGCAAATACCGAAGCAGGTCTCCCCCATCCATGAACCACGATCTGCTCATGCTCCTCCATGTGTGCGTCCATGTGCACACAGCTACACCAGGTTCGGGTAGTGCTAGTCTTAACGTGTCTACCGCACCAGGATCGGGTGTTGCTAGTCTTAACGTGTCTACCGCACCAGGTTCGGGTGTTGCTAGTCTTAACGTGTCTACCGCACCAGGTTCGGGTGTTGCTAGTCTTAACGTGTCTACCGCACCAGGTTCGGGTGTTGCTAGTCTTAACGTGTCTACCACACCAGGATCGGGTGGTGCTAGTCTTGAGGCGCCTCAAAACTAGACTAGACCCACCCTTGTGAGCATGCAAATAGCTTAGCAGGTCGCCACCATCCATGAACTCATACACCACGATCTGCTCATGCTCCTCCGTCCTCGCGTCCATGTGCACGCAGTACCCCAGCAGCCGCACCAGGTTCGGGTGGTGCTTCGATGCCATTTGCTGCACCTGTTGCCGTGAGAAGGGAGCAGAGGAGTGGGGTGGTGATGGTGAGTGTTGAAATCACCTTCTAAATGGAGTTGGGTAGTCATTCTCGAATGCCATTTGCTGCACCTGTTGCCGTGAGAAGGGAGCAGAGGAGTGGGGTGGTGATGGTGTGTGTTGAAATCACCTTCTAAATGGAGTTGGGCAGTCATTCTCGAATGCCATTTGCTGCACCTGTTGCCGTGAGAGGGGAGCAGAGGAGTGGGGTGGTGATGGTGAGTGTTGAAATCACCTTCTAAATGGAGTTGGGCAGTCATTCTCGAATGCCATTTGCAGCACCTGTTGAAGTCAAAACGTGGGGGGTTGGGCCATATAGATGGTGAATGCTGCTTGCGGTTGAAAGGAATGCCTGCTGCTTGCAAGCCATCCGCTTCAACTGTTGGTTGGGAGTAGCGGCAAACTTCAGACTCAAATAAAGAATGCAGTGGCAGAAGGTGGGTTGGTCGGTGAGACGTTTCTAGAAACGTTTCTAGTGAGACCAAATCACACCGCCGTTAGGATGGCTGGATGTGAAAAAACAAGTGTTGGTGTTCTTTGCATGCCATCTGCTGGAATGGGGTGTTGTTTGCATGCCATCTGCTGGAATGGGGCGTTGTTTGCATGCCATCTGCTGGAATGGGAGAATGGGATTGGGGGGAAGCAGAGTCGCACGAGCATGTGGTGGAATCCGATGTACAGTGGAGAGGAAGTGCCATGACTATTTGTGAGGCGCCTCAAAAGACATGCTTGCCGTCTGCTTCAACTGCTCGCATGATCAAGAGACCAACGCAGCTTGGACATATACAGCTGACAAGGACATATTTAAAAGCTGGAATGTTATCATTCTTTAATGTTTAACAATCCGCGCAGTCTATGACCATCCGCGCAGTCTATGACCATCCCCGCAGTCTATGATCATCCGCTCAGTCTATGACCATCCGCTCTCGCATTTTTGTCGCCGCGGTGTGACGCGCAGCTCCATACATGGCTCCATACATGGCTCCATACATGGCTCCATACATGGCTCCATACATGGCTCCATACATGGCTCCATACATGGCTCCATACATGGCTCCATCTCGCCTCACCCTCACCCACCTCTCTTCGAAAGTCCTTGGTGATGATCTTGGCGCGCTTCACAGCCCACACCGTGCCAGGGTCGCCAGGGGGCACGCCTCGGAACACATCGCCATACCCGCCCGTGCCCACGAGGTTGCGTGGCAACCAGTTGTCAGTAGCAGCCAGCAGCTCCTCCAACTGCATCTCCCGACACAGGGACACTGCTGCTGCTGCTGCTGCTGCTGTGCTGCTGCTGCTGCTCCAGTGCCCTTGGTCGGCCTGTGCCCCACCCTTGCGCCCCTTGGTGTTTTTGGGCTGTTGGAGATGGTGCCGTAGCCAGAGCAGGAGAGTGAGGATGAGGAGGAGAAGACATGAAGCGCCGACTGCGATTCCTGCGATGGCAGTGGATGATAATCCTGGTGACGGCTCTGAGTCCACAACTGGGCACGGGTGGAATGGGATGGCAGGGAGGGAAGGGGTTGGGATGTGGCACGGGTGGAGTGGGATGGGAGGGGAGGAGAGAGGTTGGGATGTGGCATGGGTGGAATGGGGTGGGAGGGGAGGAGAGAGGTTGGGATGTGGCGCCATGGGTTGGGAACACTTTTAAGGTGCCTCAGAATGACGGCTCACATGGGTATGTGGTGCTGAGATGGCACGGGTACTCCGTACATTTGTGGCACGGGTATGTGTGGACTTGGATGGGAGCGGCCGAGGTGTGGCACCACACCACGTTTGAGAGGGTGGTAACCAGGCGGGCAACTGCATGTGTAACCATTGCCATTGCCCATGCCACTGCAGTTGCCGTTGCCACAAGGGTTGTTGCTGTAGGGGCATGTGCTTTCTCCAGTATTGACTGTGGGCACATGGCAGGGGATGGCATTAAAACCCGCGAGACATGAGACAATCTTTGAGGCGCCTCAAGAAAGGTTGTTGCTGCAGGGGCATGTGCTGTCTTCGGGATTTACTGTGCGTACATGGGAGGGGATGGCATAAAAGATTGCTAAGTAAGCATAAGACGGTTTTTTAGGCACCTCAAGGAAGGTTGCTACTGGGGGATGTGCTGCTGGGGCATGTGCTGGTGTCAGGACTTAAAAGTGTTTGTGAGCACATGGTGGGTCAGAGCACTGGCGCTGAGTAGGCGTGTGATACTAGACTGCCAGGTCAGGTCAGCACGATGAAGTGATGTACAGTTCGTTAGGGTTTGCTGCACAGATTCTAATTCCACACACAAACAGCACGTCAAGCGCGGCATGCCATGCATGCCTAGTGCACACGCTGCGGTTAGGTGTTATTGCCCCTCGAACATCCAAACAAGCTGCAGTGATGGATAAAAGATTTCCTCCCTCAATGAATGACCCGGTACTACTGCTGCCCCACGTATGAACTACCTGGTGCACAATAGGGGTCGCCTGTGGAAGGGTTGACTTGGCTGAAGCCAGCGGCGCACAAGCAGCCGAGAAACGCCGACCCGTTGGTGCGGCAAAAGCCGGGGAGACACAAGCCCAGGGTGACATCTGAACAGTTGGCCGGCCTGCCTGGTGTGGCACGGAAAGCATGGATCGGAACTGGGAGGAGTGAGAGGAAAGAGAGGGATGAGAGGCAAGGAAGAGAGCGAAGGGAAGAACAGGACAAGACTTGATGCATTCATCCGAGTATAGTGTTCACGATTGGCCTCGCACAGTGCTGCAGCGCAAGATGGCACACATGTGAGAGTACCATGCAAGGCCAATCGCAAACACTTGTCTTGAAGGCGGGGCTGGGAGGAGACTTACTTGGAAGGCGGGAGCAGTTGAAGGGAGAGTGGGGCATGGCGCAGGAGCAGGAGTAGGCGGCACCATCCACCCAGAAGCAGCGCGGCGACACGTCCAAGCAGGCGTAGATGGCATCGGCACACTGCCATGTGTTCACCTCTGCAGCGAGTGGTGCAGATGAATGGGCATGTCAGGCAGGTTGTGCCAGGGAGGGTGGAAGGGGGGATGTTGGGGACAACAGGGCTTCTGGTTGGGAGGAAGGAGTGAGACAGTGCAATAGATTGTTGGCATTCACACCAGCACACCACCAACCACGTAAGGTGAGCACTTTCGGAAATATGTGCCCCATCAGCAGATGAAGTACAGCATCGGTGCATGCAATGCATTACAGCATCGGTGCATGCATTGCATTACAGCATCGGTGCATGCATTGCATTACAGCATCGGTGCATGCATTGCATTACAGCATCGGTGCATGCATTGCATTACAGCATCGGTGCATGCATTGCATTACAGCATCGGTGCATGCATTGCATTACAGCATCGGTGCATGCATTGCATTACAGCATCGGTGCATGCATTGCATTACAGCATCGGTGCATGCATTGCATTACAGCATCGGTGCATGCATTGCATTACAGCATCGGTGCATGCATTGCATTACAGCATCGGTGCATGCATTGCATTACAGCATCGGTGCATGCATTGCATTACAGCATCGGTGCATGCATTGCATTACAGCATCGGTGCATGCATTGCATTACAGCATCGGTGCATGCATTGCATTACAGCATCGGTGCATGCATTGCATTACAGCATCGGTGCATGCATTGCATTACAGCATCGGTGCATGCATTGCATTACAGCATCGGTGCATGCATTGCATTACAGCATCGGTGCATGCATTGCATTACAGCATCGGTGCATGCATTGCATTACAGCATCGGTGCATGCATTGCATTACAGCATCGGTGCATGCATTGCATTACAGCATCGGTGCATGCATTGCATTACAGCATCGGTGCATGCATTGCATTACAGCATCGGTGCATGCATTGCATTACAGCATCGGTGCATGCATTGCATTACAGCATCGGTGCATGCATTGCATTACAGCATCGGTGCATGCATTGCATTACAGCTTCGGTGCATGCACTGATGTGGTAATGCAGAGAATGTGATGATGATGCAATGCATGAGCTGCTGCTGCCATGCACGCACTGATGTGGTGATGCATGCGCTGATGCACCAACGGATGGGTGCACAGATGCTCATGTGCTGATGCTGCAGTCCATGCATGGATCCATGTGAAACTCCCTCCTACATTGCCTTCCCCATATTCTCTCTCCTGCAATTTACATCCCCTTTTAGCATTTCACATGAACTAGTGGACGAGGATGCAGAGACATGCCGGGTAAATGAAGCGGTAAGTGTAGACTGGCCTTTTTGCTCATTCATGTGTGTTGCAACACGCAGACTTATCTGTGCTGCACTGCTATGGCTGATCCTTTGTGCTGCATTGACCTGGCCCATCATCTGTGCTGCATGCTCACTCACCCCGGAGCATGACACTGCAAGGTTGCTTGATACTCATGGTATGGTTGCACTCACAGTCCACAAGCTCAGGGTGCAAAATTTCGGTGAAATATTCATTTCTGGGGCGAAAAATTCGCTGTCGTAACTTTCGCCCGAAATTTTCGTTACATTTCGGTCAGAAAAAAATATTATCTATGGGTGGAAAATTTCGCCCGAAATTTTCAAAAAAAAAAAAAAAGTCAAGTCGAATTGGGTAAGTACATATCGGTAATATCTTGCTGGACCCTGTCATGTATTATATGCAATAAATAGTTTCCAGTGTGTCAATCAATTATGAGACTGAAGAATCTGAGCAATACTAGTGGAAAGGTGATGTATCATGTCATGTGCATTCATGAAAGTGCTCAATCAGTGCAATGACATGATATAGAATAAAAGGCAGAGGTTTGTTTTTGTTTTGTTTTGTTTTGTTTTGTTTTTGTTTTGTTTTTGTTTTGTTTTGTTTTTTTTTTTTTCAGCGAAATTTTCGGGCGAATTTTTCGAAGCGAAAATTTCGCCTAGCGAAATTTTCAACCTTGCACAAGCTCACCTTTGGAGCATGAAGGGCGGTGGTTGCGGGAGGTCTGCACAATGCCAGGCGGGCAGGTGTGAGAGTACCCCGCAGCACCCACTGAGTCATTCACACACTTTTGAGTCGACTCAAAAGTCACCTCGGTCTGCACAAGGCCTGGCGGGCAGCTGCAAGAGCACATTGCGCGCCGAGGTGGTATCTGAGGCGCCTCAAAAACCATCTGAAAGCTCACCTTTGGAGCATGAAGGGCGGTGGTTGTGGGAGGTCTGCACGAGGCCAGGCGGGCAGGTGCAAGAGTACCCCGCAGCGCCCACTGAGTCGTTCACACACGCTCCGGGAAGGCACGGGTTGGAGGAGAAAGCAGCACAACCGTCTTTGGGGGGCGGCGTTGCTGCGGTGCGGACGGCATTGTGATGTGATGTGAGGCGGGAGGGAGACGGAGTGCACTTCCAGGTAAGCCATGGGTAGGTGGAGAGGTGTCTTTTGAGGCGCCTAATTTTTTTTAGTTTTGAGGCGCCTCAAAAGGAGGGAAGGCAGGGGAAGGGGGTGCACTTCCAGGTAAGCGATGGGTAGGTGGAGAGGTGTGAAGCAACTTCATTCGCAACATCATCATGAGGCGAGAGATGATGAAGAGCAGTGCATGAGTGAAGGCACCTCTTTCGTTGTGATTCTACACTCGGGAAAGGGTTTGTCTGTCACAGTGGCATGGCATGGCATGTAACGCGAGTGATGCATAACGCATCAGAATCACTCCCACCATGCTACCATCCCACCATGCTACCATCCCACCATGCTACCATCCCACCATGCGTAACTGACATCCCACCATGCATGCCATCCCACCATGCATGCCATCCCACCATGCATGCCATCCCACCATGCATGCCATCCCACTATGCATGCCATCCCACATGCTCAGCATGCAGCTTGCAGACCCACCCCACATGCATCTACCCCCCCCCCCCCCCCCCACCCTTAAAACGCTTACCCCGGCACGTCGGAGTGCCCGTACTTGTGGCCTGGTCATAGCCAGTGGGGCAGCGGCAGGTGTACCCGGGGGCAGATGAGGAGTTGCTCACACAGGCGCCGGGCAGGCATGGGTTGGCCTGCAGCAGTGCACACGCGTCTTTTGGTGGTGGTGACGGTGCCGGTGCCGGGGAGGGTGCTGCTTCCGAGGGTGCTGCTTCCGAGGGTGCTGCTTCCGAGGGTGCTGCTTCCGAGGGTGCTGCTTCCGAGGGTGCTGCTTCTGAGGGTGCTGCTTCCGAGGGGAGTGCTTCCGAGGGGAGTGCTTCTGAGGGGGGTGCTTCTGAGGGGGGTGCTTCTGAGGGGGGTGCTTCCGAGGGGGGTGCTTCCGAGGCGGGTGCTGTTGAGTTTTGATCTGTTGGCAAAAGGGATGAGGCACGGTTGGGGATGAGTAATAAATCAAGGGCGAGTTTGCACAGAGGTTGAGCATTGCGGTGTGCTTAGGCTGCCATCGTGCTGCTTGCAAATCCTCTCCCACGTGCACCTTCACCACACCCGTTCCTCCCTCCTCCCCGTGGAAGAAGTGTAGTTTTCAGACATCTTATCAAAGCTACAATTCTTTCACGCAGTCCCACTTCCACATGCACCTTTCACCCTGCCCACCCCTCCCTCCTCCCCGAAAACACTTACCCAGGCACGTCGGTGTGCCCGCAAGCATGGTCTGGTGATAGCCAGTGGGGCAGCGGCAGGTGTACCCGGGGGCAGCTGAGGCGTTGCTCAGACAGGCGCCGGGCAGGCAAGGGTTGGGCTGTAGCAGTGCACACGCGTCCTTTGGTGGTGGTGACGGTGCTGAGGGGGGTGCTGTTGAGTTTTGGAGTGTGGGCAGGAGGAATGAGGCACGGTTGGGGGATGAGTGATAACTCGAGGGCGAGTTCGCACAGAGGTTGAGCAATGCGGTGTGGCGTGCTTAGGCTGGCAGCGGCAGTAGAGCATGCAGAGCATTGCCTTAAGGGCAGTACACACTGTTGCAGAGCCCCCCCCGCACCGAGGCAAGGACAAGCACGCGTTGACAACTACCATTGTTCTCTTTAGTGAGGCCATGATGCTCGCAACAGCATGAACAAAGGGAGGTGGGGTGGGGAGACTTGAAAGGGGCAATGAAGACGAACAAGGGAGAATCAGGGCTGACTAGGTTCAGAAAGACAGTAGGGGAGGTTTTTGAGGCAGCTGAAAAAGAGAGTTGAAGGGAGCGAGGCAATGCAATGCAGATGAGGAGGGGAGAATGAGGGCTGACCAGGTTGAGGAACACAGTAGGGGTAGGGGAGGCTGGAGGAATCGTTGAGTGGGGTGAAGCCGGCAGCACACTGGCAGCCTGTGAGGCGAGTGCCGTCGTCAACACACACTCCTGGCGCACACACCCCTGCCTGCACGTCCATGCAGTCTGCTGGCCGAGCTGTGAAGGGCCGTCGGGTGGCGTTGAGTGGGGTGTGAGAGGGGTGTGAGAGGGGTGTGAGAGGGGTGTGAGAGGGGTGCGAGAGGGGTGTGAGAGGGGTGTGAGAGGGGTGTGACAGGGGTGTGAGAGGGGTGTGAGAGGGGTGTGAGAGGGGTGTGAAAGGGGTGTGAGAGGGGTGTGAGAGGGGTGCGAGAGGGGTGTGAAAGGGGTGTGAAGAGGGGTGTGAGAGGGGTGCGAGAGGGGTGTGAGAGGGGTGTGAGAGAGGTGTGAGAGGGGTGCGAGAGGGGTGTGAGAGGGGTGTGAGAGGGGTGTGAGAGGGG